AAAAAATTATTAAAAAAAAAAAAAAAAAAAAAAAAAAAATAAAAAAAAAAAAATTTTTTTTTTTTTATATTTTTTTTTTTTTTTTTTTTTTTTTTTTTTTTTTTTTTTTTTTTTTTTTCGTTAATAGTTATTTATCAATTATTTACTAATTAATTAATTCTAGTTTATTGTTAATTGGTTATCAATTCAATTATTAATCCGATTCCTTATCTTTCACTTCTCCTTAATCACTCACTCCTTATTTAATACTATTTCATCCTATTTAATCATCATTTTTTCGTCGTCATTTTTTTTCATCACATTTTTTCACAAAAAAAAAAAGAGAAGAATGTTTAGTCATTCTCTATGGTTTGATACAGTGGGAAAAAGACATAAATATAGAAGGCATACCACTAATACTGAAATTAATCCCAGTAATAGTAATTATTTTTCATCATCATCTGATAAAGGATTTCTTAGTGATGGGGATGAGAGTGTAGGAAGTAATAGTTATGTTGGTAGTGTAGGAGGAGGAGGAGGGGGAGGAGATGGAAGTGGAGGTGAAAATACAAATGATGAAAATAGTTTAGGAAGAGATAATTTCTCATTGAATGAAAGGGAAGAAAAGGAATTAACGAATATGGAAGGAGGGGAATATTTTTTACCTAGTAATTCAGATAAAGAAATTGAAAGATTACAAATGCAACATTTTTTATTGAGATTATCTTGGCAAGGAAATCATTCTTCTCCTATTGTTGATGATTTCGTTAATGGTGGTGTTAAAGTTTTAGACATTCAGTAAGTTTAAATTATTATTATTATTATTATTATTATTATTATTATTATTTGATAAATTAATTTAATTAATTAATTATTTATTTCTAAAATTTGTTAATTATTTTTTTTATTTTTTATTATAAGATGCGGATCAGGTACATTAAAATCAATTAATTAATTGAATATAACTCAACTTTATTTAATTGATTAACTTTAATTGAATTTAATTTTAATTTAAATATTTATTTATTTAGGAATATGGATTACGGATTTGGCCACGGAATTTAAATCATCAACATTTATCGGAATTGATGGTGATGAAGCACGTGCTAGAATTCAAATTGAATTACCTAATGCTGCTTATCTTCATCATGATTTATTAGATGAATTACCTTTTCCTGGTAAATTATTATTATTCTTTAATATATATATATATATATATATCGCGACCTATTATATATATTTTTAATTAATATTATATTATCATATCGTCTATTATAATCCATTAGATGATACATTCGATTTCGTTAATCAACGATTCTTCACGATGACAACTGAAGATAAATGGAAAAATTTTATTTTACCTGAAATTATTCGAGTCACTAAACCTGATGGTTATATAGAATTAATGGAAATGACTACTTGGAAATATATGGGACCTGTTACTAAACATATGGCTAAAGCATGTATGTCTTCTGTCATCTTACATGTAATACTCTTTGATGAATTTGGATGAAAATTTGGATGAAATTTGCATGAAAATTAATTTAAATAAATACTCTTAATTAACGATTCTTTTGTTTTTCTTTTTTACAGATAACGAATACATACAAAAGCGAGGAGTTTATCATTTAGATCCATCCCAACTAAATCAAGTTTTGATATCCACGAAACAAATTAAAAATATTAATTGTGAACAAAAAATTACTCCATTTTGTGGTGGTCGAGCTTCTCAATTGGTAATTTACTATTTAATAGTAATAATAATAATAATAATAATAATAATAATAATAATAATAATAATAATAACATATTATTGTGATTAGGTCTGTCGAAATCAATTTGAAAAAATCGAAGCGCACAAATCAGAATTATGCAAATTTATGGAAATAAAAGAACGAAAATTTGATGATATGATAAAGATTATGTACGAGGAAGTAAATAAACATAAAACTTTTGCTAAAACCTATAGGTAAATACACGTTCATTATACACATACACACACATACGGACTGACAACGTATTTATTTAACATATATATATTTTTTCTTCTATTTTGTAGGATTTATGGACAAAAAATTTAAATATATAAAAAAATATATATAAAAAAATGTAAAATACAAATCACTGAATTATTATTAAGATTATATTATTTATTCAATAATCTAAGAAATATTTAAAATTTATTTAAAAAAAATATACCCAAATATACCTATACAAAATATCCCCAAAATCTACTTAAACAAAAAAACTCTATTTAAACATGATATATTATATAGGTAATAATAATTATAAATAAGAGAAAGAAGGAAAGAAGGAAAGAAGGAAAAAGTAAAGAATGTAAATAAAACTTTTTATGAACAAATAATTATATAAAAAATAATTAAATTATACATATTTAAATATAAAAATTTTAATAATAATAAATATACATATTTATAATAATCAATATATACACATTTATAAATAAAAATATATACATTTATAATTTATTAATTCAATATATCTCATCTATCTATCCATATATATATATATATATGTATATAAATCGAATATTATGATATATGTTTATTTTGCGGCATAATAAATAAAGATAGCTTTTTTATAAAAAAAAAAAAGAAAGAAAGAAAATATTAGAATTTTTTTTTTTATTACAATAGTGACAATAATGAGATAAAAATAAAATAAAAATAAAAATAAATAAAAATAAAAATAAATAAATACCAAGTATAGTTACTAATTTTAATGTAAGAAATAAAACGATCAACCAAAATTTCCAATGAGTGGTTTTTCCTACTTTTCCTTCACCATCATTTCCTTCTTCCCAAGCAATTTTAGCGTGAGATAGAGGTTTAATGGGAATTACCAAATGATCAGAGTGATATTTTTCATTAAGAACACTTAATTCAATTAAATCAGTTTTACTATTGTTACTATTACTATTACTACTGCTACAATAGTGATGGTGAAGATATTTCTTATTTTTAATCCTCTTGCCCTTGTGATAATCATTATTATTATTATCCTTCTTGTGGTGAAAATAATTATTACTTGTTTCATCTAATTCATCATCATCATCATAATTAATTTCTTCATAATTATTTGTCATTAGTCCAGAATCATTCACATTACTACCAGATGCAGGTAATGAAGATGAAGATGGTGAAGATGAAGGTGAAGATGAGGCCGAAGATAATGGTGATAAAGGGTCAAAATCTTCTTCAGCGAAATAATTTGTGGTAGTATCATAAAGTAAAGGATGACTATCATTAATGATATTACTATTATAATAATTATTATAATTATTATTTTTTTGTTGTGGTTGTGAAGAAGAAAAATTTTGAAATATTTTAGCAACTTTAATTCGAATTGGTTGAACTGGGTTCGATTTTGATTTCGATTTTAAAGATAAAGACATCTTTTCTTTTCTTCTTTTTTTTTTTCTTTTCTTTTCTTTTTTTTCCTTTCTTCTTCGTTTTCTTCTATTTATAACTATTTTACTTGTTTATATATATATATATATATGTTATATGTTTTATATACCGGATTTTTTAATGAATGGTAATTCGATTATAATTATTTATCATTATCATTTATTATATTATTATCACAAGAAGGAAAAAAAAATCTAAAAAAAAAAAAATCTAAAAAAAATGCGTTTTATTTTTTTATACTAAGCCATGAATAAATATTTACCATGTGATGTAAATTATCCAGATGAAGATGAAGATGATGGATAATTGACTATCGTAAATATTTTGGTAACTTTAAATTCCAATTGGTTCTGTCTTCTTGTCTTCTAGAAGAAACTATTTATTTTGATTTTTTTATTATCAAGAAAGAAAAATGTGTTATTTTTTGTGTCCCGCAGTTATAAAAAATCAATTATAGTATAGCCGTAATGCACGTGGTACTATTTTTTTTTAATAAACAAAATGGAAGAAATTACTTGTTTCTTTTATGGAACATTAATGAGTCGTAAAATTCTTTTACACGTACTTGAGGGTAATAATAATAAAAATATTATAGGAATACCTGCTGTATTAAAGGTAGCAATAATAATAAAATAAATAGAAATAATATATGAAAATTATCTTGTAATTTTTAATAATAATCGTTTTTATTAATTTTTCGAAAAAAAGGGTTATAAACGTCGAAAAGTACACGGAGCGCCATATCCTGCCATTATTAAAGATGAAAATTCCGATACTCATGGAATCGTAGTTAAAGGGTTAACACCTGAAGATATGCTACGTTTGGATTTTTTTGAGGGTGATGTAAGTTTTTCAGAGTTTTTTTTTTTTCAAAAAAAAAAAAAGTTAGAGAATTAGAAAATATTTACATTTTTTTCACTACAAAAAAAAACAGCAATATGCAAAAATAGAAGTTCAAGTATTCTTCACTAATAATGAAGATTATAAAGATAATAAAGATTATAAATATGAGAATGCCATATTAGCTCAAACCTATGTCTGGATAGATTCAGTTGAATTATTAGAAGATAAAGAATGGGATCATAAAGATTTTGAGGAAAATATTAAAGACAAGTTATTACTAAATGAAGATCCTGAAGAGGTTTCAGATTTTTTTGGTTGATAATGTAATGTGGATTAATGTCATAATATATAGTAATATATAAATAATATGTCTTGATGATTATTATTTTTGTAGTAAAAAAATACTAATTATTATTAAGAATAATTTTATTTTTTCCTTTTTTTTAGAAAAAGAAGGAAAAAACAAAAAGAAGGAAAAAAACAAAGAAAAGGAAAATAATAAATTCATTCTTCAAAATAAATAAATCATATTTATACACATGTACATATATTTATTACAAAAATGAATTTAATTTAGATTTAGTTTTTTTTTTAATACCAAAATCACAAATCAAAGTTAATTTAAATTAATATATTAAATCAATACTTAATAATAATTAATAATAATAATAATAATAATAGTAATAATAATAATAAAAATAAATAAATAATTAAATAATTAATAAATAAATAAGTAATTAATTAATTTATTAAAATTTTTAAGAATGCTGACTGTAATACCGAATTTCAAAAAATATTATCATTAATCTTTCTTTTGACCCACAATATTATAAACAGTGTGAAAAGTTTTATATTCTTCAAATTCCGAACAAATCGTTTCCACAAACTTATTAAATTCTTCTGAAGTCATATGATCCCTTTTAAAATCTTTATTCAAATTTATCCACATCTTCCAAACTTCCTGCATATTCTTTCCAACCTAATAAATAATAATATATAAAATTAATTAATTAATATAATAAAGATGAATTTAATAAATATAAATATAAATAATAGAAATGTAATAATGATATGATATTAAAGTTTTTTTTTTTCTTTTTTTTACCTCTCCTCCATATCCACCAAGTGGAATATCAAAAGTAGTTACTTTCACATTATGAAAACCAATTGTGGGTAAAATATCTTTAATTTCATGAATTTTCAAGGGATCAATATCTCGACTTTGTAGACTTTCAAATACTTCTTGTTCAAATTTTTTATAAATAGGTCCTTTTTGTCTATAATATAATTATAATATAATGAGAATATCAAATAATAAGTAAGAATAGTGCAAAAGAATGATGGTAAGAATTTAGTGGTATTGATTTTTTTTTTTTTTACTTACAGGAAGGTTTGATCTGATTCCTTTAAATGAAGACAGACAAAATAATAATAAAAAAAAAAATTAAATATAAAAGATATATAAAAATAATTTTTTAAAAAAAATCAATAATAAATATTCTTCTTCTTTAACATACCATAAATTCAATCCAACCTCCTTTCTTAAGAACTCTATATGTTTCTTTCATAATAAAATCATAATGACTTTTTTTAACATGTACCATGGTTAGACGTAAATATACAAAATCGAAACATTCATCCTTTGTGTGTTTTTAATATTTGTTTAAATTAATAATATGAATGAATGATTTTTCAATAATATTAATAATGAATTATTAATGAGAAAAGAAAAAATATTATTATTAAACAAATAAAAGAAATAAAAAGTGAAATGCTTACAGGATAAGGAATCTTTTCTATTTATAATTATAATTATTAAATATTATTATTATTATTATTATTATTATTATTTTTTTTGGAAAATTAATTAGTAAATTAAAATTTATAAGAATGTAAAAAAAGGTCATTATTATTATACCATAAAAATTTCCAAATTCGAAATGACAATTATCTGGATAGGTATCTCTAGGTGAAAGTGGTCTACTATCGATACCATGGAAGTCACAAGATTCGAACTCGCTTTGTTCAAAATTAAAAGAATTTATTATTATCATTACGTTTATAAACTATAAATTATAAATCAAAGTTACACGTGATACCTCGCCATTTCCATCATAAGGATTCCACTAGAATAACTAATTATTTGAAATTGAAATTGAAATTGGTGTTAAAATTTAAGAAATTTGAAATAAATATAATTTAATCAAGTAAACTTACCCTAATTCAAGACATTTCTGATTATTATTATTATTATTTATTATTATTATTATTATTATTGTTGTTGTTAAGAAAAATATGATAGATTGATTGATTAAGTATATGTATATTGTAAAGAATTCATTCATTGGAGAATTTATTCTTATAATTTACCTTAATATCTTTCTTCAATGGAGCAAGAAAATTTCCATTAAGGGTTCGTTTGAAGACATAGTGCTAATAATAAAATAAAAAGAGACAAATAAGTTCATTATAATAATTTTTTATCAAAAAATTTTTACTTTAAAAAAAAAATGAATGCAATTACCATCAGTAAAGATCGATCAATCTAATTTTCAATGATGAATGAATGAATAATGGTTATTATATATACATACATACATATATATATATACACATATATATATATATATACACATATATTTTTGCAAAGTTTTTTAAATATTATTGTAATAAGTCATTTCGATAAATGCATTATTGAATTTTTATTATTATTACAAGTTTTCCAGATTGGCTGTCTTTATCATAATCATGTCGTTGTTTTATCTTTTCGATAGAATATTCTTCATCTTCATCCGAATCACGTTCACGTTCAAATTCAATTTCACCAATTTCATCTTGATTTATTTCTGGAGGAGATGACATCTTATATAAGGATTTCTAATAATATAATTAATCAATAATTATTAATTATTAATTATTAATTATTATAATCGGTGTTACTGTTGGTTGTATTATTTTCTTGAAAATAATAACATTAACAGTTAAATTATTAAAATAAGAGTGTAAAGAAAATTAGTTTACTTTAAAAAATTTTTCAAGATTTATTTATTTGAGAATTTTCAACTAAACTTTTTTTAAATGTTATGTTATAGGTGTTTAAGAGAATTTCCCACTAAACTTTCTTAAACTTTTTTTAAACTTTCTTAAATTTTCTTAAATGTCAAAGAAAATTTACAACTTCATAAACTTTTTTTTTTTTTTTTTTTTTTTAATGTTTACTTTAAAAGAAGAAAAAAAAAGAAATTCGGCGAATAACTATTCGTTTACCGAACGTAAATACAAACTAGCCATTACCACAAAAATTATGCATGTATACAGTTTGTTTGTCAATAAATTACATAATGTACTGTAAAACCAACAAAATATATTATTTTTTTTTTTATGAAATTATTAATTCATTAAATCTTAGAATTTTTTTTTCTCCTTTAAAATTAATCTTCCCTGAACTATTTTCTTTAATTATATATTGTTACTGATTAGATCAGACTAAATAGGAAAATTATAAGAATATTCTTTTTCTTTTTCTTCTCAAAAATATTAAATAATATAACAGTGAAACTTTTTAATAATAAAATGTTAAAAATGATAAAAGTAACTTAAACACGATCTTTTGCGTAAGAAATGAGAGGATTATGGAATTTTTAAAGTTTTTCAATATTAAATTTATCTTATCAAAATAAATGAACTGACGTTTATGGCTTAATTAACATTTATTTTTAAATAAAAAAATTGACATATGAAGTAAATAATAATCAAATATAAACTTGAAGCTTTATGGTGATCTCGAGACTTGGCTTAAGTCTTGCAAGCCAAGCTTCATGAGTTCGTAAATATTACATTTATCATAATTGCTAAAATATTTTTATTTTAATTCCTATTCTGCAAATCTGATACTAGTTGGTGTTGTACTACTATCTGTTAATTCAGTTAATTCAGTTGATTCTGAATTATTTTGTAAATGATGCCTTGATCTCAATGCAATATTTACTGGAGGTGATGATAAATTAACATCTCTATTATTATTATTATCATTATTATCATTAACATCTCTATTATTATTATTATCATTATTATTATTATTATCATTAACATCTCTATTATCATTTTTATTATTATTGTCATCATTTTTATTATTATTATCCCTTGAATAATTTATCTTAACAAGAGGAATATCTGAAGTGGGCGAAGTAGGCGAAGTAGGCGAAGTAGACGAAGTAGGTGAAGTAGGTGAGGAATTTAAAGAAGAATGTGATGGATAGCAGTTACCTTTTGAATTTTTTCTTGATTGAGAATAATAGTTATTATAATTATTGTTGTTTTTTTTGTTCTTGTTATGAAATAATGAATTTAAATATATTCGTATATCTCTTGATAATCCAGGATAAATAATTTTAGATTTAATAAAATCATCTTGTTCCTCATTAGAATTTTTCTCTAATGAATGATGTTTTGTTTCAGGAATTAAGAGTGTAACCAAAAATCCTATAAGTGAAAAAATTGCAAATATTTGTAATAATTTATCTACAAATTGATTTTTCCCTCCAATATCTTTAAATTTAAAGAATCCAATTTGTGCTATAATTGCACCTAACTTTCCACTTGCTGCCGCTATTCCATTACAAGTTGAACGATAACGAGTAGGAAATAATTCACCTATTATAAATACAAATATATAATATATATAATAAATATAATAATAATAATAATAATAATAATAATAATAATTCTATAATAAATTATATAAAATAAAAACTCACCAGCAATGACAAAAGTTGTGGTATTTGGTCCAAAATTATGAAAGAACTTTTTTTTTTTTTTTAAAAAAAAAAAAAAGATTTATTTCATGAATCAATAAAAAAAACATATCACATATTCTGTAAAAAATATATTGTATAGTAAAGAATAAGAACATACCATTGATAGTGTAAGTAATAAAATAAATACTACATTGTTAATGGCTCGATACGCGAATCCAAGTATTACATAACATAAAGTAAGCATAGCAAATCCCATTAATTGAATAAATTTTCTTCCTAATTTATCAATCAAAATAACGCTACACCAATATCCAGGCATAGATCCCACTACTGTAATAATCATATTTCCAATTATTAAATCGTATAATGATTGATATGAATCATTAGATTTGTTAACATCGTTTTCTTTATAAATAATAGTTTCTCGATTTAATCCAATTCCATAAAATGTCGCGTCCAATACAAACCAAGAGATACAAATTGCAACAAAATTTCTTAAATTTTCCGTTTTAGAAAAATAATGACAAAAATCTTTAAAAGAAGGTTTAGGTATAGTTGCAAGAAAAGTTGGTTCAAATGTTTCTTCTTCTGGTTTTATCAAGGAATGATAAAAAATAATAGTATCAACATCTCTAGCACCTTTCTCAACATTTCCTTGAACATCCATCGTCCAACGAGGTGATTCTGATATAACTAATCGAAAATAAAGTCCTATAAATGCCGGAATTATCCCTACTCCAAGTACAGCACGCCAAGCGTAATCAAGATAATTATCATTTTTCTGAATTTGCTTTTCTAATATTTTAAGAGTAATAATTGATATTATTGTTGCAAAAAAAATACCAAAACCTTGCATAGCAAAAACAGCAGCCATCATAGTCCCACGTCTTTTTTTGGTAGAGAATTCACTAGTAATTACTGAAAAAAAAAAATAATATCTTTAATATTATTGAATTCAAATTATAATATAAATTATAATATTTAATTTATTATACCAAAAAAAAAAATACCTGAAGAAAGTGGATAATCTCCACCAATCCCAATACCTAATAGTAATCTCCAAAAGATAAGTGAATTAAATAATGAAATCTGTGATGAAAAAAAAAAAAAAAAAACTTTTTAATAATATTAAAATAATGATCATAATATTAACATGGATAAAATAAAAAATATATTTACGGAGAAAGAATTAGCAGAAAGCATTGAGCCTATTATATAGAAATTATAAAAAAGATTTAAAAAAATGTATAATATTAATATTAATAAAATTCAATGAAAATATAATTAATTTTTAATACCTGCCGTTGCTATGATTACAATCATAAGTTCGATTCCATATATCTAAGTTGTTTAAATATTTTTCGAACAAACGAATCAAAAAAAAAGAAAATTATTATTACTTTTTTTTTTTTTTTCAAAATAATTTTATGATTGTCAGTCATAATAAAAGTACTAACTCTTTTACGACCAAGTTTATCAGCGTAAATTCCAAACAAAATTTGACCAATTATTGTTCCAATAGCTGCTGAAATCTTTAACCATAATCCAAGAATTATTGCATTTTCTTCATTGTCTTGATCCTTGAAATATGCATAACCTAACATGGCAGATACTATATTTATAGCAAATAAATCATAACTATCGGTAAGAAATCCTATACCAGTAATCATACAAATACGAATATGAAACCATCCAAATTTTTCATTATCAAGTTTTTCTAATGCAAATTTCCTTATATCATTTAAATCCAAATCGTTATCATTGAATTCAATAATATTTCTAGGTATCGATAGTGAAGAAGGATTTTCAATTGAATTGTTTATAGTATTATTCGTAGTTATTGTCATTAAATTACTTGTCGTTGTCATAATATTTCTTGTTGACATTATTCAAATAAGTCAAGAACTAAAAAAAAAAAAAAAATGAATTATCATAAAGAATTATTTAAAAGAATCAATTATCAATTTATATCCTAAATTTAATAATGAAAAACGAAAGATGGGAATGAAGTAGATTATAATATTATTAATATTATTGATATTATTGAATTAAAAATTATCATAATTTTCTAGTTTCCATTGGTTATTGTTTTCTTTTTTGCTCTGCCATTTATTGCCATTATGCACACAACTACTTGAATATTTGATTTTGATAAAAAGTTAATCCGTATATTCCTAAATTGACAATGTTTAATGTCAATCTGTTTATTTTTCGTAGAACACATTCTAATTAATATAATTAATAATTAATTTGTTTCTGAAAATTAATAATTCCTAAAAAAAACTCGGATACGAATTAACAATATGATGTTTATATTGTCTTCAAGATTTATTCAAAAAAAAATAAAATAAATAAACAAAATAGATCTTTCGAACACAAAAAAAAAAATTTCATTTTGTAAATATTAGAAATCTTGTCAAATTAAAAAAAAAAAATAAGAAATAATTCAAAGAAATTAAATTTTCAATCCAATGTTAGGATCACATGGTTTATAGTATTTATAGTACGAATTATATTTATATATAGTTTTGATATAATGAAATAAAAAATAAAGTTTTTTTTTTTTTTTCTATCAGAGGATATAATCAAGAATAAATCAAAAAAATCAAATAATGATAGCCAATTTTATTTCTGAATATTTCTCATTCCGAAAATATTTATGATAATAAAGGAAACAATAATAACTAACATTATGAACGTTATGTGTTGTGTATAAAGAAAATGATGTGAGAACTCTATTAGAAACAAAAAATTAATCAAACTATATCTTCATATGAATTGATTGTTTAGTAAAGTCTTTTTTTCTTGTAAATCTCGTGTCAAAAGAAAAAATTATAATTATTACCAGAAAAAAAAAAGTATGAGAAAAAATAAAGAAATAATGTCATTGAGATCATTCTTTAATAATATAATCATTAAAATTAACAAATCTAGCTAAAAGTTCGGAATTCCATATTAATATATAATAAAAAGGTGATTTATAAAAGAAATGCTTTAACTGTCTTGTTCTTATTTAAAAGAAAATCAAAATTTTAGTTTTTTTTATTAAAATGTCTAATTAATTCCGATGTAACCTTTTTGGTTTGATTAAATGATGATTAAACAAATTGGTAATTTTATTAATTTCTCCTTTTGGATCTTATCAATCTTATCAATTTGGTGATTGTCATATAGAATGTTCATGACTGGTATTAGAAAAAAATATGATTGTTTCGAAATTTTTCAAATTGAAACGAAAAGAAATCACTGGAAAAATGAAATTGACGTCATACAATGTAGTAATGTTGCAATGATTAATTGTGCATACGATATGAACCATATTCATTAAACGTTTGATGGTTATTTTTATTTTATTGCATTTAAAATTATTGTTTGCGAAAAAATTTAAATAGATTCTTTGGTATTTAAAGGTATTTAAAAATATTTGTGATGCAAACAATATTTCTTCTTGAAGAATTTAATCACGTGATCTCTACATACCGTGTTTTAATCGAATCTTGTTTAAAAAAAAAAATTTATGGGATAATAATTCTTTCGAAACTACGAATTTAGCTAGATATTTGATTTAAAAAAGATTAATGTATGAAGTGTATGAGACTATTCCATTCAAGAATAATTGAAAAATATTCCAGTAACCAATTACATATATTTTTAATTGCAGAGATAACATTGAAACATGTGAACAAAGATATAAAGAAAACGCATTTATATTTTAATTTAAAAGAAATTTATTAGAAAAGATCAACCGATTTTTACTCAAAGAAAATAAAAGATAATTAAATTTCATTAAATTATTAAATTCAAAGTATGATGTTTTTACGTAAAATCGCCTTTTTTTAGTTACATATAAATAATGATAAATAATTATTATATGAAATTTGGATTTTCGGCGCATATGTTTTTTACGAAAAAAATAATTTAGTATTAGTTTGAAATTATGAATCGTATGTCGGATCAGATTAAAAAGAAGTTACTACCGACTCTGAAAAGGTATTCTTATTGTGGAATTTCCGTAAAAAGTCCATATATACTAATCACGTGCGAAATACCATAAGAAAGGTATCTTTTAATTCATTCTATTAAATTTTCAGATAAACAAGAAAATTCTCCTGTTATGACTTATTGTAATAAACAATTAATTAGCCTTTAAAGGACGATATATGAAACCTCAAGGAGAAATAAAATTTTTTATTTAGTTAATTATTAGAATCAAACGACGCTCGGCACACCGTCCGAAAATTTCTTGGCATGGGGAGTCGAATTCTTTCAAAAATAAAACTCCCGGTAACTTAAAATTAATATGTGTGAAATTTAAATTTAAATTTTCTATAAATACTCCCTAATTGCTCAATAAATTATTTCGCAAGAATTGTAAAAAAAAAAAAAAAAAAGAACAGATCAACTCTTTTCAACAAAACTAATTATACAAAATTAAAAAGATCCTTTAAGGCATATTTTGGTTTGTCTTTTTTTTTTTACTTTTTTTTTTTTAGTTCGATATATATATATATATTCATATATATTTTATTGAAAATAATTATTCTTAATATTTTATTTTTATTTTATTATATTTTATTTAGTTAAATAAAAATTTCTTAAAAATGACATACGGAAAAGATAAGATATCTCAAGTCTTTTATAAATCCCATCATTCTTCTTCTAAAAAAGCTATTGATAAATTATTGTCAAAATCGTTAGCAAAGTCATTGGTACGTATGAAATGTTTGATAATTATAATAATTATTATTATTGTCGAACTTGACGTTTAAACTAATACGTGCTTAATTACTAATTCTATTTAGAAAAAACGACGTGAACAAAAAAAATTAAAAAAATTGCATCTTGCAAAAACAAAACATAAATATCATGATCGTATTAATCGTATTAATGAATCTCATAATCATAACAATACAGAAATTTTTGAAAAAAGTGATTCTAGCGATTCAAATATGACCATCGACTATGTTAGCGATGATAGTGACATCTATCCTCGTTCTAAAAATTTATCCATCTCTAAAACTGATTTTGGTTCGGATCAAAGTATATACCGCAGTATAGACCAAAACATAGACCAAAATATAGACCAAAATATAAATGATGAATATACTTCAAAGAAGAAAAATCCAAATGTGAAAAAAAATTCAGCTCCTAAAAATGTAAATCGTATGGATATTATGAATTTATTATTAGTCACAGATGACGACGTTTCTCGATCAAACAGTACGTCAACAATTTCTAGTCCGATGTCGACTCCTCCATCAACTCCTGGATTACTTTCGGATAATAATAATAATAATAATAATAATAATAATAATAATAATAATAAATCTCAAAAACTTACACTGAAAAGTAAAGGCAATTCATTTGCCAGGGTGATGATTGATCGAGGAATTTCTGACCAGTCGACTATTCCCCAAGAATTAAATCCAATTCGAATTCCTTCTACACCACATTTGGAATGGGAAGATTTAATCAAAAATATAAATGACATGAATCTTAATACAAGCAATTTAGATAATATAACTCTTAATATTAAATGGAAAAGTAATCCTTTGGAAATTTCGCATTTACAACGTTTTGAATTTTTGCATAAAATCGAAGCAGAAGTTGCATCTCTCTTGAGACTGACACCTGTACAATATTTAACTTCCAAGAATACTTTGCTTTCTGCTTCACGAAGATATAAAGAAAGAATGTTACCTTTTCGAAAGAGTGATGCACAAAAAATGCTAAAAATGGATGTTAATAAAGCAAGTAAGCTGTGGGAGTTTTTCAGACAAGCTCAATGGCTTTAAATTTTGTTATTTTACGAAAATATTAAGATAAGATATATATATATATAATACATAAAAATATAAAACATTTAAAGCATTTTTTAATTAATTTTTAATATTTAATACATTTAATACATCAATTCTTTTTTTTTTTTTAGTCAAAACTTGTAAATACATAAGTTATTAAGTTTTATGTTAGAAAATTCTTTTTTTTTGGCATATATGACATATATGCAGATTCAAAATTCTTATGTCAAACAAATAATTTTTATTAATTTTATTAAATCTTTATGTACATTTATCTATATGTTAATTATAATAATTATAATAGAGAATAACAACAAATAGATAATACTTTTAATTATAATAAAGATTCTTTAATATAATATATTACATAATATTGCGTCATTCCAGCCTTTTGAATTTTGAAATAATTAATCTTTTGTTCTTGGAAAAAGTGATATAAATGGGGTGGCTGTACGGTTGATTGGTGTGTATAAAAAATGATATAATAAATAAAGTATTATCAAAAAATGGCATTCTTTAATTTACACAAGTTGAGAAAATGCAAATTCTGTATGTTGTACGTAATTTAAAAGTATTACTTTTATAGAAATAAAGTATTACACTACTTATAACTATTGTCATTGACATTATGAGTAGTGTAAATATTTTCAATTTTCTCGTTTGAAAAATAACTTCGAAAAAAAAAAAATGCCTCCTCGTTCACAACTTATCAAATGTGCCATTATAAGTTCCATATTTACAATTATTTGGAATCTTGCTGAAGGTGTAATATCTACATATTTTGGAGCAGAAAGTAGTTCCCTTAGTCTTATTTTTTTTGGTATTAACGCCTTCATCGAAGTAATTTCAGCAAGTTTGGTTCTGTGGAGATTTAAAACCGAAATGAAATCTGAAGATGAAAATTCTATCAATTCTAAAGAAGAAAACCTAAAGAAAGAAAGGAGGGCAACTGTTATAATGGGAAATCTTTTTATTTCACTTTCACTTGGTACAATTATCAACGCAACTGTTGCCCTAATTAAGAAAAGACAACCTGATACAGCTTTGCCAACTTTAATAATTTCTAGTGTATCATTATCTTTTATGTTATTCCTTTGGTTAGGAAAACGTTATCTTGCATTTAATCTCGACTCTGCAATACTGGCAGCGGAAGCCCAATGTTCGTTAGCTTGTTTAGAAATTACTGGTGTGATTTTCTTGGGAAGTTTGCTTTATGTAGTTTGGTCAGAAGGATGGTGGCTAGATTCAACAGCTGCCTTATTCCTTGGGTTATTATTTGCGAAAGATGGTATAGAAATGATCCTTAGTGCGAACAGCAAAAATTTTGATGGTGGTTGCAACTCAAAAGTTACTGCAAAAGTTCATGTAGAAGCGTGTTTCCATAATCGTACAGAAGCAGTAACGAAGAACGGAAACAATGAAATCTAAAATCCTTTAACTCATTTGTGCACAAACCTTTTTTTCATTACAATTTACTTATTTAAAAGTTAAAATTTATCAATATTTATAATGATAGACTAATTCTTAGTATGATCATGTGACTAAATTTTTTACGGAGTGATAAATACTTTCTTGTTTTATTAACACTCAGTTGTAGCAGAGAAAATAGCTCCTATTATTAAAGATTAAAGATTAAAGATTCATATTGTATAAAAATATGAAATATGAGATTTTCTTAAAATCCTCCCAAATTGATTAAATTAAATTAATTATTTACAAAAAAAAATATGTAAATAATAAATGAAGAATGAATGTCTAAATTAAATATTAATAAATATTATTCACAACTGAAAAATGAAAAATTAGTCCCCAGCAAAATAAATAAGTATAAATATATATAGATTTAGAAATTAAAATAAATTATATCAAAATCCATCAAGAATTCTCTACTTTTTTTTTTTAATTTTTCTCATTTCCCGATTAATTTCCTAAAAATTAAAATAGTTAAATACTTTTAAAAATCAATGTTTATAATGTCAATATCAATTCTATTTCTTATTGTCCATTTCATTTTTCTCTGACTCATTCGTTTGTAATAAATTATAATAACTTCTTGCGTATGTTACTGATTCCACTTCATCTTCATATGTTTTATCCAAGTTTTGATTTTTTGGTATTAATGAAGATGAATCTTTCTTTTCAACCTTCTTATTTGCATCCTGTTGAGGCAATCTTGGTGAAAACAATAATAAATCATTTGTTGTTGCGGCTTCCGGTGGTGAACTAATTGGAACCATTGTTTGTGTTATGAATTCATCATCTGAAAATTCATCCTGATCAATTATAATATGAGGCGTTGATGAATTTTCTAAACTTAAATTTTGAGATTCTTTTATGTCATCTCGAAATTCTAATTTGTTACTTTTACTTTTCAATCTAGTCATCTTAAAAAATCCAGGTTTTAAGCTTCCACTAAATTTATTTGAAAATGAAAATATTCTTCCGTCTCCAAATCGACTTTCCGTATTATTGGAATTTTGTTTATATAATATTCCTATTTCAGAACCTATAGTACTACTTGCACCTCCAGTACTAACAGTATCCCATCCACCAATTCCAAGCATATTGTTATCATCAAAGTCAAATTCATCTGTTATTATTGTAAGATCTTCCTTCGCTGCACTTAACATACAAACACCATATACTAATGTTCCAATTCCCAATGTTACTAATATAAGAGCCCAACCAGGATAAGATCCTATTTCATTTAAATAAATTATAGAGTTTACAAGACCCATAGCAGTATAAAATCCATAAAACATAGGAACAACTAATACAGAATCGTGCAACTTTAAGGCGGTATTAAGACAATATACCTGAAAAATAAAATGAAATAAAATAAGAAAATATTTTGATTAAATTATTAAATATTTAATTAAAATTTTTATGAAAATTTACAAACCTGAAGCACAGCTGTTACCCCAAGAAAAACAAGAATAAACCAACTTAACATATCGGTAAATTGATTAGAAACAGTGATTGATATATAAAAAAGCTTGACACTAATAAATTGAAGTATTTTTTTTTTTTTTTTATTTCTTAGTAAAAAATTTTTATTTATTTTTATTTTCTTTCTAATTATTTCATTTCACTTACCCGCTTTTTGCCAAAAGTAATGTTTGACTTGCAATTAACCCTCCAACTCCTGCCATGGTCATTCCTACCATTTTTTTTAATCTGGATGAATCAATTCCTTTGAAAATTTTATTTCTCATCTTTCTATTTTCATTTTTGAGGATCCAATAACAATATAGAGCAATCCAAAATGATCCAAATGTCAAAATGTCAAGGAATGAAAAATATAAAATAAAAAGTGGGCGCGTCATCAATGACTTTAGCTTTTCCAAAGTAAGATTTTCATCTTCAAAAGAAAATTGGTTTAAATAAAAATCATGTAGCATACATATAATAAGTATTTATTCTCTTAAGAAACCGACTCACCGTCTTCATCTGTATTCATTCCACCAAATATTACGATCCATATTACACTAATTATAACAACAAAAGTTCCAATAATGTCTTTCCTCGTAATTCGTGTCCCCACAAACATTCGTGCAAATATGAAATTAAAGATAAGTGATATCGAGCCAAGAGGTGCTACCCATTGGGCTTTAAGGAAATCTTATATGTTATAATTTAGAAATTTAAAATCAATAAATGAAATAATCGTAAAATCTAATAATCTTTTATTTTTTTTTTATGAAAAAAAAAAAAACCTACATACTCAATGCAACAGTACTTCCTACAAGTTGACTAATAACATATAAATATAATCCAAAATGCCATAAAGGTCTCCCACATTCGTTTCGCTGTATTTCCGGAGATTTTCTGGAATTTTTTACGTGATCAAATTTTAGTAAATTAAGACCCGCGGCATTCATTACCGAAGCGGCAAATGATACCAAGAAGCCGATTAAAAAATTTAAAGCTTCTGACATATTTATTAATTTTAATATTGAATTCTATTGTTTTTGACAAATATATTTAATATGTTATATGTATTATATATTTATGCGGAAAAAAAGAAATAATAGGGTTATTTATTTTTACGGATTATTATGATTATGATGATTATTATGTTGATTATAAAAGAATGAAAGAGGAAAAATGTCTCCTCGAAGATCTATATAAAAAATTAAGTTATTTTTAAATTTAGTTAAATAAACAAGGATAGTTTAAACATCTATATTTTTTTCGAAATATTTACTTTATTACTTTGAAGAAAATCGTCCAACTTGAAAAAAGGGATTTTCGGGAAACAATATATTTTTTTTATATAAATGTGGTGAAACGTCAAGAATGATTTAATTTGGGAGGTCAAAATGCATATTGATATTTTAATTTATCCAATCGTAATTTTGTGCAAATATATTCAATATTAGAAATATTAGAAATATTAGAAATAAAGAAATAGATTCAACGTGATTAATTATGAACGAGATATAAATTGCTAGAAGTTGTGGCTTAGCCTCTCACTTCGCCATTAAATAAAGTAAATATGTTTATTATTTAAACATTTGAAGCCTGCTTGAGTGGCTTTTACTACATAGATTAGAACGATTTGTCAGTACGATACGCTTTTCCGAGAGAGGAGAGATTTATTTAAACTCTTATTGAGACATGCTTAATATAAAAAATTTTCAAGTCCAATCCAATCGTCAAACTTTTAAATATTCCAAATAGTATATTGCATAAATTCAATACATATCTGATATAGCGTATCATGCCATGCATTTATTATTTATGCTTAATGGTTGAGTTAATACTATTTAAGAAATTTACGATCAAATAAATATTTATACATACGATTTCTTTCAAGATCAGAGATATATAATTTATATACGATCAAAATTACCATTCAAGAAAAAAATTCTATAATTATTCTGGTCTAAAACTTGTAATATTAGTAAGTAAAAAAAAAAAAATATGAATATAAGCCTAAAGCAAAAACCTGTTAACGTTAAATCTCAATGCAGACGTTTGCATTTACATAGAAATGCAATTTTAAATATCAAATCAATTTTTTATAATTTACAAGGAAAATAAATAATTAAAAAGAATTTAATTTTACAACGTGAGACAAAATCTCTTATTTGTTCTTGCTCCCTGATGTGAGACAAAATCATTTCCAAATTCTATTAATAATGTAATTTAATAACCAAATTCTATTAATAATGTAATTTTTTTTATATATAATGTAATTTCCATGTAAGTTCCTTCTGAACTAATTTTTCATAAATCATTTTTAAAAATCATTACCATAATAAACTTAAACCAATTATAGTCATCATAGAACAAATACTGACCCCTTATGTAAAAGGGTTAGATAGTGATATCATAATCTTCTAAAACATTATTAATATTATTAATCTTTTTATTAATAGTATTAAAAATATTAAAAATATAGTCAGAATAAATGTTTTCTTAATTGGTTAATATTTGTCATAATTTTGTCATCTCTTTAATTATAACAATGTTAAAATGAAATTAATATATGCACAAAACGATTACAAGTTTCCAAATTCCGACTTAAGATAAATAAAAAATAAACAAAATTTATCATGATGAACAATAAACAACTTTTCTCTTAAATTAAAGTGAACGTAGAATTCTTTTTTTCATCTAATTAAGCTATAAATAATAAGTTTTTTTTTCTTATAATTTAGTAAAAACCAATTATAGTAATATTCCAATATTAAATAATGTCATTGATGAACGAAAGTTTATCATTTATTTGTTTTTTAATTAAAAAAGAAAAGTCCTTACTTGAAAATTCCTATACTGGAATAAAGGAATATTTTCACGATGTTACCTAATTTAATATCAAAATTAAAATTAAATTAAATCATGCAACAGTTTAAATCTTAGAAAGAGGAAATTCAATTGATATAATTGTTATCTGCACAACTTTACCTTCGATTATTTTCAATTACGCTTATTAAACAATGAATAAAAATCATAAAATGACGCAATTATTTACATAACGTATCTGGGATGGAATTAGTTATTCGAAATCTTTCAAGAAGTTTTAACCGAAAAAGCAATTATCTTATTCCTTAAATCGCTCGCAAAATTATTGTAACATAGATTGGGAAATGAAATTATAAAAAGAGCTCTTTCTTTGCTTTGCTTTCTAACTGGGTGCCAAATTAAATAAATCTTTCATATATGAATAAACTATAAGATTAATGAATTCAATTAAATCTTCACGTAAAATTAGATTTAATTTCCCTACTTTAAATATGTTAAGAGAAGATTATCTAGCTAAATTAGCAACAGAGATGTTATATGAAATTATAAACTTCTTAGATGATGATGATAAGAAAAATCTGTCATTATCATGCAAATGGCTTTACAGAGTATTAAGGAAATTCGAGTTTGGATTCGTTGCGCCATATTGGGATCCCATTACAATTGAAGGTATTGATGAAAAATTACTTACCCTAAATTATCGGAATGGTGTTTGGATAGATGGTATATTTTATCTTATAATCTTTTCTAAAGACAATCCTATATGTTGGACTTTAGATTTAAGGAAAGAACATATTGTGTGGTCACAGGCACCCGTGACTTTGGAAATGAATTCAAATTTTGAGCCTATCCGTAAATTTTCTGCAACATCAGTTGGAAATTCGATTTATATATTTGGTGGTGAAAATATCGAGACTAATAAATTTACAAATGTCTTTTATGAATTTGATACCAGAACTTATGTCATGCGAATTTTAAATTCAATAAGAACTCCCGCGGCTAGAAAAAATCATTCCTTAAATGCAATAGAAAAAAATAGATTGGTTATGTTTGGTGGACGTTGCTTAACTAATGAAAAAGGAAATTCAACATCTCAAGAAATGTATGATACTCAAGATTTTTTTTTTTATGACATTAAAGAAAAGACGTGGACTTCCTACACAGATACAAGTAACTTGCCTTTTCGAAGGTCCTCACATTGTTCCATTGTGGTAAATAATGATCTTTACTTATATGGTGGAAAACAAATAAATTCCAATTCTACTTCTCAAATTTCGCAAATTCATGATGACAATGACATATATGTATATAATTTTCCCCACGATAATTGGCATAAATATTTGGCACCTTCTCCAAATGGTACGGCTATATCAACATTTTTGTTGCCAATTAATTGGATTGCAACATCTGGAGTAAGTGTTGGTAGAAGAAAACGTTCTGCAATTTTTACCATGCAAGACCACATCATAATTTTTGGAGGTTACGAAAGAGACGATTGGAATTTTGAAAATGAAAATTGTCCTTGGGAATTTATAAAACTTTTGGCACCTGAAAAATGTAATTGGAAACATATCAGAGTTAAAAATTTGCCTAGAATAAATTGTATCGCATACATAGGAGAATATAGAAGTGAAACGAAAGGAATCTTTGTCATAGGGAAAGACCGTGAGAAGAAACCAGTCATTGGCTGGATAAAAGATTCTATCGTTGACTTAAATTAAATAAAAAGAAGTAAAAAAAAAAAAAATAAGATAGAAATCATTAAATCATTAGAACATTATTTTATATTTATTTTCTTAAGATATATTAGAATCATCCTTATGAAAAAAATAATTAAATTTTTTTAATCATGTAATTATAGTTTTTTTTTGAATTTATAAGAAATTATGAAAATTATGCAATATATGGCTTTCTGTAATAAAATTAATAAAATTAAATTTTTACGCGCGCAATATCCAAAAGCGGTGAAATCGATTTAATGCAAGTGCAGTAATGACATAAAAATCCTTAATAAACGTAAACGTTATTACATATATCCTTACTTGCATCACTTAAAGATAGAGTATTTTGTTCTTGTTTTAGAAACTTTACTATGTGCATTGGTAAGACAAAATATACAATATTCAAGGAATTAACTGGATAAGGTTAAAGTCTTTTATTTTCCCCTAAAAATTCTTTAAATCTTTTTATTCAGTTTATATATTATTGGAAAAATTTTTTGCGAATTCCTAAGTAGGTATCGTACATTTTTGTCGTCACACTAACTTAATCTTGAAAGTTCTCGAATGAGTTATAATTCGTAATGATTTGATTATCAAAGATTTACAGTAAACTTAAATAACGGTCTAGAATCTATCTCTCGGTACGCAGAATCCGAATTATCCAAATATGGGTTATCCATTTGCTGAATAATTATTTCAAGATTTATCACTGGTTATTATTCTTCATTATAGATTCAAATATTTTAACATAGCCAATGTTGATGTTGTCACGGAAGAATTAATAAAAATAATAACTGATTAATTGCGGATAAGTTTTTAACCGAAATTATTTATTAAACTGCTGATTTATCACATGGTCGCATTCCGGAAAAATCTTTTTTTTTTCTCCTATTGCCTCCAAAATAAAATTAATAAAAATATTTTGAATTGTTTCTTTTTTTAGGACTCACGAAAAAAAAAATGGATTTAAAAGATGAAGAAACTTTTCAATATTTGCCTTCAGAACTAACCACCAAAGAGGATATAATTTTAACGCCAGAATATATGAGAATCGCTTCGCAACCTTCTTCAAAAAGTAGTAATCCTTCACCAAAATTGATTGTTTTGGATTTAAATGGCACTTTGTTACATCGAAAGAAAAGAAAAAAAGGTAAATATAGAGTGGATCCACGCCCTTTCATTAATGAATTTCTTGAATATTTGTTCAATGTTGATACATTTTCTATAATGATTTGGTCAAGTGCAAGACCTGAAAATGTAGATCGGATGGTGAGAGAAATATTTGGAAATTATCGGGAGAGATTAATGGCAATTTGGGGTAGAGATAAATTTGGATTAAGTGAAGAAGAATTTTTTACCAATTTTAAACCCATTAAAAATTTGGAGATTGTTTGGAAGGAATTTAATGAAAAAAATGGAAGCAATTTTGATGGGCGAAAAAAGGAGTTTAACCAAACTAATACTATTTTGATTGATGACTCTCCATATAAAGCCCAATTACAACCTTTCAATGCTATTCACCTTAGTGAATTTGAACGTAATGAAGAAGATCGTGAATTATTAAAAATTATTGAATACCTGAAATTAATTAAATACCAAAGTAACGTAAGCACATTTATAAAAGAACATCCATTTAATGCTAAGAGCGAAAATTAGAAGAAATTATTATACCAAAGCTTATTAGATTATCATATTTCTGGTTACTCAAGATCTTAATGAGTAACAAATCAAAACTGGAATCATTTTAAGAAAAGTTATTTGGAATAAATTAAGAATGGTTGGTTGACTCTAAAGAATTTGCATTGGATAAATTTTTGGTGTAATTACATAATTAAACACAATAAACTGTATTTTTATCTTAGACATAGAATTAAATGTTATTTTAAGGGATCGAATGTATTATGGTGTAACTTTGCTTTTTAAAATTTTTATTTCGAGCAATATTGTTACGATGCACATGAAATACTACCATTCAATTCATCTCGGTGAGAAGGATTATTTTTGAGTGATTAATTTTGTGGGACTATTGGATATTATAAAAAAAATAGATTTTATATTTGAATCAAAATATTCCAGCCTGGTCAGTATGAAACTACTACTATTTGGTTCCATTAAAATTTTAATCAATGCCATTGTAAATAATATATCGTGTAACATGTTATTAAATGTAATAATAAATGTAATAATAAATGTAATAATAAATGTAATAAATATTTGCAAAATCAACGTAACCAATTATCTTTCATGACCAATATCACAGATAAGATAATGAATGGTCTTTTTTAATTCACGTTGCGATTGTCGTTCCGTGTATAGTAACATTTCAATGAATTAATGGATATATAAATCGAGACACGTGCGACACACTGTTTATGTTTTATTGATGATCCCAAAATTTTTTCGTTCTTTCATTCTTTCGTTCTCTTATATAAACTTGTTTCATTTTTGTATACCCGAAAATCAGATTCCAAGAATATCTTTAAGAATCTCTTTTTGAATCTCTACTTTTAGGTTATTATTCATTAAAGGAGAACTTGCGTGAATATGGATATTTGAAATTGTTCCAATTTTGAGGGTTTATTTTTAACCCAACATACTTATCTTTAAAGGACTGCATACTGGTGGACCAACCCGAGAATTAATGCCAAAAAAAAACAAACAATCTATCAACAAACATAAACCCTTAAATTGTGTTACATGATACTTATCTCATTTAAAATTTGAAACTTTTTTTCAGCATACTTCTTCTTTTAATCAATTTTCTTAACCTCTTATGTAATTTAACTGTCATCTATGTTCTTTATAAAATTTTATTGTAAAAAATTTTATCAATTTCTTATTATTATTATTAATGGTGCAATTGATAAATAAATTTAGTTTGAATTGCATGAATTCAAACCAAAATGATACTATGATAATGTTGTCTTGTACATGCGATTTTCGCATAAATTCAAGTAATTGTGTAGAATCCTTTATACTGCGGATTGGATTTTGGATGTTACTACCTTATGTCTTGATAATTGCAGCAACTTCTTCTTGCTTTCTTTGGTATCGAATTTATCACAAGGGACAATCATTACTTTTTCCCCCTTCGAGAGATCGCGGTTTATTGCGACCGAGGCCTCATGACGCTTTTCATCTTGTAGCTATTTCTCTAACAATTTTATCAATGATTCGCCTTCTTTTTCTAATGAATGATGCCTATCCTAATAATAGAATAGCCGAAAGTATGCATTTATCACTTCACAAATGAGAATGTTATTATTTTCTCCTAAATATATTTAAAATTAAATTTATTGAAAATTAAATTTTTTTCCCAATTAAAAGTAATAGATGATTTACCGAGACAATTTGGATTTTGTTGCGCAGTTTTATATTGTATTGGGATTAGTAAGTTGTTTTTTTTTTTTAAAAAAAAAAAAGGCCTTTAACAATTACTAAAGAATTTTATGTGCAAAATCTATAGTTTATTCGATTCCTGCCCTAGAATCATCGGATAACTTACAAAGAAGTTCGCCAAAAAAACGCATCGTAGATATTGGAGGATTTTGTTTAATATTGGGACCTTTCATAGTTAATACACCCATATCTTATATGACAGGATATTTTGCAGAAAATGATCATAACATAGAAATTGCGAACAAATTATTTATGGCACATTATTTAATTTGGTGTGTTTGGATTATAATATATCTGTCGATATTATTGTTTTTTTGGAGAAAATTAATATCATTATTGAAGTATCACATGAAAGAATTAGAGCAACGATTAAAAAAAAATATATCCGTTCAGTGGAAGCTAGAAACTTTACAAGTCGCTGCTACAAATGTAAGTATTAATATTCTAAAAAGATTTTTATTAAATAAAAATATCTTTAAATTTGTATTTCCTTTTATTTTTTAGCTTTCAACTGTTGTCGCGGCATTCTCTATTTGGGGTTTTATTTTTTTAATCGTATTCTCAACTTTTGGTATCGCAAGAAAATCTTTGATTCAGAAAAGTCATTCTATAAACATTTTGTATTTTGTAATTTGGAATTTTGTCGAACCTTTATGCATGCAAATTGCCCAATTTATTATTGTATATAAGTAAGCGTTCTTTTTAATTTCGATCTATTTTTTTTTTATTCCAAAACATTTATCTCCTTTTTTTTTCTGTTTATTCTTAGTGCAGTAAAACCAATACAAACAAATGCACAATTAGGTCGAATGTCTAGCGCTACTACTCATCATACTCGTCATTCACTTTCTTCACGAAGATTTAATAATGTGGTTGAAGTAGAAAAACAAGCAAATACAATTGTAATTGACGAAAATAATCCACCAACAAAAGACACGATAGTTGTGCCTTCAAGTCCATTATCATCTAATCACCGAAATTCAAGTCTAGAAATTTGTACTTTTAAAAAGAATTTAGAATTAAATGGACAATCTAAATCTCAAGATAATTCACTATATTATTCAATCAGAGAAAGCATTATTACTCATAATTCATCAATTAATCATCTTAGTGGGTTAAATAGTCAAAGGACAAGTTCTCAACTTTCTGGAATCAATTTATCTTTAAATGAACAATCGTATAACCATTTTTCATCAAATTCCTTACCTTCATATAAATCAAATCGTTTAAGTAGTTTTAGTCGTCCTATGTCATATTTACACGATCTTCCAAGACAAGATTTACTACAGAACTCAGTATCATATATTGAAATTCAGAAGAACGAATTATTTTTGCAAGATGAAAAAAACAGAGAACAAGAAAATGAAACAGACGTTGATTATAGAAAATCATGGCTACAGGATAAGCCAAGACGTTTTTAACCTTAGTATATAGATAACAGTAAAAATTAATATTGTAATTATTTAAATTATTTATGCATTTATTTTTTTTTTTTTTTTTTAATAATTTTTTATTAAAGTAAAAAAAAAAAGGAAATAAATAACGAATTAGAAAGGAAGGATTTTCTAAAAATATGTAAATAATTCGATACGAGTGTTCGGAAAGCTTGGAACTTAAAAAAGGAAATTTGTGCGATAAAACAATGTTGAAATTATATGTAATCAAAAAAAAAAGGATAATCCATTATAAATTAAGAAAACCGGTTAATTCTATTTTATAATTTGTTAGGAAGGATACAAATTAAACGTTCTTTGCTATGAATATTTTAATTAAAGTTAAAAGGATGACGTAAAATTTTGATATATTGCGAATTTAAAGTTATAAACGAATCATGTTGAATGTTTCGAGGTACGTTGAATGTGTTGAATGTGTCGTTATACGTCGAAATTATTTATTATTTTCCTTAAAAATTTATTTTTGTTTTTGCTTATGAGTTTTATTAAATGGCGAATTTGATCTGATATTGGAACATGTTTTTTTTTTTGAATTTCAAAGAAATTAATTATGTTAGATGTGTTATAATTAATCTTTAATGTCGTGAAAATACATAAATTTTGAAATCGTGCTTACATAAATTTTATTTGAATCGTTTTGTAATATGGTAACTAAGTTATCTTTGTTGTTTAACACTTTACAATAATTGAAATAACTTCGCCATGAAACCTTATTATATTATATATTCATAATGCTTATGTTTTATAGGGAGATGTTAATAGAAAAAAAGAGCAATTTAAATATGTTTTGACGTTTGTGAATATATCGATGATGAAAATTCGTCGTATTTAAATTTTTTTTATTTTCAAAAAAATTCTTTTGATTTATTTCATTTAATGGCGTATGCACCTAATAATAAATATTATTAAAACATAACAGAATTAATGTATTGTAAAATTTTTTTCTCTTGGAGTGAAAGAAACCCATTTTGAGATGATTTATCATATAACGTAAGATTTTCGTTCTACAATTTGTTTATTTAGATTTTTATGTTTGATCTTGTGCTTTTCATGTTGAATTAAAATTCTTGAATGTTTCGGAATATTTTTTAGTTCGATCTCAATATTGCTGCACGATATCTGAAAAACATCTATGTAAACGAACGCGTAACGAAAATCATTCGCTTATATACTATTACCTATGTATGCGCATATGAAACTAATTTAATATAAGACCAAAATTAGATAAAATAATGCCTAGAAAATAAGTTCCGAATAATTTCTCCATTGATAACATGCATTTAAGTTTATTTGTCTTCGAAAACTATGAATTAGTTTTGTATTAACTTGTATTGACTTATCTCTTTTCCGCAATCTCGATACATTGATTTCACTTGCCATTGTTCTATAACTGAAAATGGTTGTTCAAATAAAATTTATATTAATCGGTTTCATGATACGATATTTTTAAATAAGAGCGAAAAAGTGATTTAAATGATTAGATTATCACAAATTTGACCTTATATAGAATTCCATATAAAATCTTTGGGAATTCTTTTTAATGCTTAAAATGCTTATTAAAATCACAGAAAGTGACAATGGTAATTAAATCATTAAATTAAACTTAGTTATTCATATAATCCTTGAAACTGGACAGTTCACATGTTTTTTTTTTCTTATCAAGGAATTTTTTTTTTTTTTTACATTTACCAACAATTAACTCATTTACAAAAAATTATTGTTTTTCTTTTTAATTGCCAAGGCGAGTCTCTTACGAATATGAATTATGAATTTTTAAACCATTTAAGGGATATGTTATTGAATTTTAGATATTTATCTAAAGTATAATTAAAACTTCAAAACTATACTACTAGTATTCGTTAGATTTTTTTCTTTTATAACTAATTATTTTTTACTTGTAACAATAAATTTGTTATTTTCCATTCTATTCTCTATATATATTCCTCTTTGAATTTCATCTCATGATGGAATATTCAAGTGTTTTATGTTCCCGATTTTCTGATGTAACAATATGCAATATTTTCACAACTGATTCCCCTTTTTTCTTTTTTATGGTTAAAAGTGACATCCAAAACTAGTGTTTCAACAGGATAATTGTCCAATTCATACTGCAAAAAAAAACGTAAAATGGTTTGAGACCAAAAAAATTAAAACGTTAGACTGGCCAGCAAAATTCTCCCAACCTTAATACCATAGAAAACATCTGAAAATTGTTAAAGGATAATATCTAGAAAAAAAATTTTCAAAACTATAGATGAGCTCAAGACTGCTTTGAATGAGGAGTGGTCAAGATTTAATGATCAATTCTTAGGACTCAATGCCACGAAGAATTGAAACAACATTGGATGCAAATGGAGGCCAATAAAGTATTAGTTAATTTTATAAAAAAAAAAAAACTTTATGTACATAATATAGAAATAGAATAAATCGTACATATCGGAATTTTTAAAAAATTGGGCGTTACTTTCCGACGCGACTGAAAAAATACATATTGTATATGGATTTTAATCATTCAACTTTACAGATTTTATTTGCTTGTGTCGGATAAGTCACCTGAAACAATTACACGTTGAAAGTGATGGTCACAGATTTATGTGTAAAATTATTTTTATATTGATTGCAACTCACATGGAAAGAGTTATTTATAAAGTTAGGCTTAGATTCGTGATATTAAGAAATGTATATCATAAATATTTATCGGAAGCATTTTAAAAATGGCACTCTGCTTATTATCTGTTTGCTATTCGTTTACTATTCACATTTGTCATTATTTACATTCTTTCTTTAAATTTATCTCCTTATTTATTAAATAATTATCATATTCTATATATACGGTTAGTCATTCTCTTAAAAACCAAAAAAAAAAAAAAAACTATCTTTAAAATATTTCAACATGGGACTATTTTTTTCTCACGACAGATCTTACAGAGTTACCAAATTTTTAACCAACTCTGAAAAAATTAAAGAAAAGATCGAAACTCACGACAACGCTCTTATTCCGAATTTTAATTGGCTTGATGGAGAAACGGTATAAGACTAAGTCTATTAATGTTATACAAAATAATAACCTTTTAATTTTATCCTTTGGAATATTTAAGTTTCCAACAAAAATTGAAGAAAATCATCGAATACATGCACGGCATTTTGCGCTTAAACATGTGTGTAAAGGCAATTTTACTTCGCCAATTAAAGAAAATATCAAAGCGGGATTTAAAATATTGGTAAAGAATTTTCAAAAAAAAAAAAATTTATTCAAAAAATTTTTATAGTTTTTTTTTTACCTTTTAAATTTTATCAGGATGTAGGATGTGGCTCAGGGCAGTGGTGCATAGAAATGGCCCAAATGTTTCCTGATGTTGAAGTTTATGGGTTTGATTTGTCACCTTGTTTTCCAGTGGTCAAACCGTACAACTGTACTTTTTTATATGGTAACTTTTTATGGGGGGGGTTACCATATGATGACAATTACTTTGATTATATTTGGATACGTTATTTGTATTCTGAAATAAAGAACAGCGATTGGTCCAATTTTATAAAAGAAATTAAAAGAGTCTTAAAACCTGGGGGCATAATTGAACAACATGAGTGTGATGGACTTGGTATATATTATTTTATTTTGTTTTTTTTTTTTTTGGAACAATCATATGTAGAAAAATTTTTAATGTGGTTTTTATTTATAAAGCGCATTCTGCTGGTCCTTTACTAAACAAAGTGCAAAATACATACAGTAAGTGTTCTAAAAAGTTCCCAATTGCTTTGCGTTACATTAATTCGTTATTCGTTATTCATGTTGTTATCTCAGTACACGTGATTTCAACGACAAACGATATCGACCTGAGATTTGCACGTCGGCTTACTGAAGTATATGAAACAGCAGGATTTGAGAACATACATGAGTCTTATCTGTCGTTAGCTCTTGGAAAGTGAGTATAAAACAATATTATCATGATTTTCATTATTTTTTATTTCGCTTATTTTATATTATAAATTTTGTGAAAATATCCGTGAAAAATTCAGATGGGGAGGAAGAATTGGAGAGATTTGTGCGGATAATTTAAAGCAAATATACCTTACAATGCAACCTTGGTTAACACCATTTACAGGATTAACAGAAGATGAATACAATAAAATTATCAAACAAATTGTTGTTAAAGAATTGGACGAATATCATTCTTTTACAAATCACCATATAATTTGGGCAAAGAAAAAAGCATCAAGTTATTGGTGGTTTTATTAATCATATTTAGTTAATATTATTTTGAATATTCATTTTGTATAACAACCAACAACAATCCTTTTGCCATATTAAGAATTATGTAACCTAAGTTACACATATTTGCTGTACCACATACCTTTTATAAATAAACTTTAATGCAACAATTAAAAATAGGGGAGGTTATATAACATCTATAGGTGCATTTAGTCTGGTAATGAGATTAAACGATAAGAAGCACATTTTTTTTATCCATAAATGTTATAGTTATCAAAAAATATCTATTGTACCTTAAAAACCGAAAAAAAATACATTAATTGAAAAAAATAAAGAAAAAAAAAATTCTCTCATGTCATGTCATATATGGAAGAAACTCTGTACATCTATCGAAATTTTTTTCTATTTTGATCCGACACATTTAGTGGACATATGCTTTTCTAAACAATCTTTCCCACAACATCCCACATCTTTGCACTGAGGACAAACCAATAATTTCCAAATTTCTTTCAAATTTTTAGGTGCATATTCACATTGTACACAAATTGGTGGTATACGGGGTAAACTAGATTCTATTAATTTGATATTTGTTTGAGAACTTTGAACTAATTTATCTGCTGGTGAAAATCCACATTCTCCCACTAATAAGCATTCTTGAAATGACATTGCTGATTCAAAAACATCCCCAGCGGCCATAGCTGTCAGTGCAATACAAAAATTGATATGAATTCGAATTGCTCTACGTTGTTGTACATCTTTATAATTTAAAATTCTAATAAAATATAGATCTTGTAATCTATCATCTATAAGTCGCATAAGTTTTACTCCATGATTAATGATATCTTCATCATATCGATTGTTTAATTTTGATCGATATAAGTCGGTTAATCCTATCACTACATCAAGTAATAGTGTAATATCCTATTTTTATTTATTAAAAGTAAAATATTTTTTAAAATTTCGATTTCTTAATAAAATTATTATAAATTAAATTTATAAATAAATAAAAAACGAAATTAATACCCATGAAGTGTTAGGTATCAGCGTTATTAACTTTAACGAAAGGAAATAATATGCTGCCGCTGAGGCATAATCCGGTGTAATGGTAGAATTGAGACCTCTACTATATACAACTCCTAGCTTGGCAGCCGCACACGCAGAACCTTTATGTTTCAAGAATTACAGAATTTTTCGGAATTTAGGGTTAACACAACAAATATATATATATATATATATATATAATAATACTATTAGACAAATTCAAATAAAATTCCATGTTCTCTCATTATACCTAATTGTGTTGCTCTTTGAAGGAGCTTTAGATATTTTCCATATTCAGAGGATCTAAGTTTTTTCTCTGCTTCTTCTATTAGCTTCGCAACAAATACCGCAGTAATTGTATTTATATCAATATCGTGACTATTAAAATCAGGAACTAAAGATACTACTTTATGAGAAAGAGATATCCCATTCACATCTATAGATTCCATTGATTCTAAGTCTAAGTCAGAAGTGGAGTGTGAAATAGATGAACCCATCTTCTTTTTAAAAATGTGAGTATAAATAATTCAAAACTCAAAAATGATTGTGAGAGATTTTATAAAAAGAAACTCAACTTCATTACACCACATCATTTATGCTTATATATGAAAACTATGTGGGTCACAATACTTTAAAATCATCATTATAATAGGTCATATTACAATTTTCAAATTTTGGGATTTCTTTTGAATCCTTGTCTTGTAATCGTTGTTGAAATCGGAAGTATTAACAGCTCATCTCTCCTTAATCCTTAAATTTGTCCCTTTCACATGCATTTATTAGTGATCAAATTATATTAAATCCTTTTTTTTTTTAAAAAAAAAAAAAAAAAATTAATGACGCTATTAAAAAGAAATAATTTATTATTTATTTATGAAATTTATATATTTTTTTTTTTGCTCAAAGAAAACATACCTAATACTCTTTTATTAAAACTCTATTGTCTGTCGTGCAAATATGTTTGCGTATATTAAAAAAAATATGATAGCCAATGAATAATGTTTTTTTTTATTAAATATTTGAATCACAAGGTGTCTCTTGCCTTCTTGCTGATAAATGAAATTTCCGGACCAAAATTTTATGAGTAAACAATAAAATCCACTTATAGGTAAACAATATATTCAAACTTGGGCAATTTGAAATTTTGTTTCTTATTCCGAATTGAATCGGTTTTTAAACACATGATTCTTTATTAAATACTAGCCATATTTCGTATGATCGTTCAATGATCATCATTACATAATAGATAAAATTATGATATTTAACATGTGATATTATATTGCTAATTTTAAACAGTGGATTATTTTCATTATTATTATTATATTCGTCATTGTTTGATAATGAAGTTATATATGTAATAATATCTTGAGTCCGCAAACGAGTCAGATTTAGATTTCTCGAAAGCTTGCTCCATTCGTTGCAGAATTCCATCCTGAAGATTGATTTCTTCGGTTGGTTGGTTTGCGAAGATATGTACTAAAGGTTTATTTTATAGAGGGTCGCCTCCCGTCCGTAGAGAAGGAAAGAAAGGTTTTTGTCATATAAGAACAATTACAAAGACAATGGTGATCGCTAATAATTAAATTTATAATCTTGATAAACTCCTTTTTTTTAGCACAAAATGATTTTTTGAGAAAATTCATTTATTATAACTTGTTAGGACATCCTATTCAAAAAAGAGTGACCATTGTACATAAACTGTACACCTTCTGTATATTTAAGAATTAAATTATTTTTAAGTCTTATTTTAGCCTTAAATGTTCCCAGGAACAAAAGTGATGGATAAATTTTATACTAAAAAAATATTTAATTGGGGTTGATAACGATTGTGTGAATTCCAAGATATCTGTTTTTTCATTGAATATAATGAAATAATAAATGTGTAAAGAATATAATTTTAGTATTGTAAATGCGGCTAAGGTATTGTTATTCATGTATGTTTTGTTAAAACTATAAACAAAGATTGAATTGGCCAATTGAACGTATTTAAATTAAAAATTCAGCAAAACCTGAATACCAGGCGTTTTTTTTTGGACAATTAAGGAACCTGATCCGTTTCTTGAAGGTACGGGTTCAAATGCAGATAGATGCAGATAGATCAAGATTTACTAGAATTAGAAATTTAATTACAACACGGGATCTCAGGTGTTGGTTAAAAAATTACTGATTTATATTATATTTATGCATGTGAAAAAATTTATCATCACAAACTGCTATAAAAACCCAGTTAAAATTACTGCCTTCAAATTTATTATTAAATAAATTTAATAATTAAATATGGGCATTGTAAATTCAAAAGTGCCATTCCCTTTGCTAGCAAAAAATGTCAAAAATAATGAAATTGATGAGAAAGAGAATCGACGCGTATTATCACTAGTTTTAGATTTCGCTGATGAAGTTTTTAACGATATTGAAAATGACACCACATCGATTTTGGTTAACCAATTACTAATAGAAGCAGAGGAAAAATTATTATCCTCTGATTATATGGAATCTATAGAACTATATACTGTAAGTATTTTTATAATCAAGAATTCTTCTTCGAAGTTTTTTTTTTAAAAATTAAAAAATTATTTCCCAAAATTTTATAGAAAGCTTCAATATTAGGGTCTGTTTATGCCAATGCCAAACTTGGTTTATTATATCTTGAAGGATACAAATCAATTCAATCTGATTACCGGGTTTCAGCTGGATACTTTTCAATTGCTTTAAAACTGATATTACTAATACCACCCAAATTATGGAATTTTTGCCATTTACTCGAAATAATTGCCGGATTGAGCGAATTATATCGATTCCATCTTGTCTATCAACGCGACTATCATATATGGTTTCATGGCATAAAACTTATGAAAAAAATTGAAACGATATTTCAAGACCCAAATTTTATTAAACTTACACACGAAGAAAATCAAAAACGGCGAGCCATCCGAATTCACATGACTTATTGCTTTGCTTTAAATTTACAGGCCGAACAGGATTTTGTAACCGCATTAAAAATGTTTGAAGAATGTGAAAGGATAGGTTACTGTGGTTATTCGACAGCAGATAAATTGGTAAAAAAGGCACACACTCAATATAGATTATTAGAACCTCGTGTGCCTCGTGTGCTTCCAATTTGTGCTTCATGTAATTATGAAGCAAAAAAAATTGATGAGATTTGGAAGCTTATAGTCTGTTCTAAATGTCAAACTGCGTGTTGTACCCGCGAATGCATGATTAAACATCGAGCAATTCATAATAATTTAAAATGAATTCATTACATAATTTCATAAATTCTGTATAATTTAATAATATAAATAATATAAATAATATAAATAATATAAATAATATAAATATTTAACAATTACATTTACTTTTTATGTTCAGGATTGTTATTTGAAAATAGCAGTAAGATCTCTATAAAGGAACTTCATTTCAAAAATTCTTTCCTAAATTTATTTGACTATAGATTAAAAATAACACCAAAAGGGGGTTTAAGTGAAACTTAATTTCAGTATTTTATGTTTGCATTCGAATTTTGTGTAATCCTATCCCTTTACCAAATCTATAAAATGCATAGATAGTTTTTTTTTTTTTTTTTAGAAAAAAAATGGAAGATAAAAACTTTCAAGAACTTTTAAAGGATTCTGATATTATTCCGGTAATAACAGTTAATCCAGGAACACCACAAGCAGAAAAAGCATTTGGCTTTGATAAAGTATCAATAACAAAATCAAATGATACAATTTCAATTGATTATCGTATATCAAACATTGATATTATAGGTGTTTCGCCCGGAGAAAAATATATTGTCACTTGGAGTCGAAATAATGGTTTGCTTGCTGTATGGCCAACTGATCAAGATTCAACAAAATTATCTTATACCTTTTCAATAAAGACCAGATTTGATGAAACTGTTTTAAAAAAAGCTGATAAAATTTACGTTTCAGTATCGGAAGACGGTGAATATGTCGCTATATCAAAAATAACAATAATTGGTGGTGAAAATACTGAAACAGTAAATATGGATTCATTTGATTCGCCTATCTCGGACAGTGAATATTCTTCAACAACTTCTTTTGATATTTATTCAACAAATCTTAATAATAGTCATCATTATACAAGACTAAATTCCCTTGAAGTTACGGGTCCATTAATCTTTGTCCGTAATTCCCATCTTATGTGCTTCGTCAAAGACGAAATATATTTAGTATCCACAAGATCTTGGAAAATTATAAATAAAATAAATTTTGATCAACTAATTCAATCTGCGCCTAGTTATTCTTCTGATAGCAATGCATTCATTATAGATATTTATGACATTCTTATTAATACTTTAAGATATGACTATATGGTTTGGCCGGAAGACAATAACGGTCTTAGTGTATGGGATTTTGAAGGAAAGTTAAAGCAATGGTTTTATACAGGAACTAAGGAACCATCTCATACTTTACATTCCATTTCTCATAATGGAAGTCTTGTCGCAAGGTAATTATTTTCTTAACTTTCTTCTCTTCTATCTTCTCATCATTTTCCTAATTTCTCAATTATAATTATTGATAGATATTATTAATGAATATATATATATATATATTATTATAGATTTCGAAAAGAAACCAATACTCATGGATCAAAAACTAAAGGCATTTTAAGCCTTTTTCATGTTCCAACAGCTTTAACAATTTTTGATATTCAAGTTCCTGATTCGACTTTTTACATTTCCTTCGTATCTAAAACAGAACAAATATTAGTTTGCTCATTAAATGAAGATATTATTAAAACTCAAGTATACGATTGTTGGAGTGGAATGTTGGCGTATGAAGAATCTTGTGCTCATCTTAGTAGCGAAAAACCATTTTTACTTCTTGATGAAAATTACATCCAAGTAGCTGAAGACAATGAACTTGAAATTTATCCTCTTTATCAAAAATTAAGTACATTTAACACAGAAAAATTACATAAATCTCAGGAATGGTCGACAATAAACAAAAATCTAAAATTATCATGTGCAACTGAATCATATTCATCACGATCATTATGTTGGGGTTATATTCATGATACTGAAAGACATGTTTTAGTCAGTAAATTTTTGATAGAACCTTGGAAGGAATCTGAAGATAATATGTTTGCAAAATGGTTAGATGATGAAGGAAAAAGATTTCTTATTGTAGGAAAAGATAGTGTTCAAATATATTTTACAAAAACTAAGGGGGTCCATAAAAAGTATCTTAGACTTGAATTACAATACATGTGGACAGTTCCACTAACTCAGGATGATGCTTTTATTAATTCTGTCTTATTAGGGAAATGTAAAATACCTGGTGAAGGAAATATTGAGAGAAAATCACTTCAAATTCAACTCTCAAATAATTTTAATGTTACACTTCTATTACCAGACGAGGATGAATTGACAAGTTATAAAATAATATCAGATGCTTGTATATCTATTCATTATCTTTGTTTACAATTTCCTTTGGATTGTGATTATTTTAATCGTTTGGCGATTAGGAGTCAACTGAAGAAATTAATTTGCGAACATGTTCAAATTTGTCCATCAGCTTTTAACAAGATTTCACTCGGTGATAATAAATATATTTATCCTATAGAAGATTTTATTAACCTTGGATGGGATGATGTAGTTAGAACTATTTTGGAAAATAATCAATATATACCGCTATTTCATAATGATAAACAAACGGAAAGCGCATTATCATTATTAGTAGAACTTCAAAAATCAGAGCTTGTAAATCATTTTATGGAGGTAAATTAATATATAATAAAATTCTTTAAATTCTTTCATTAAATTAAAATTTTTTTATTATTAATATAATTTATATAATTTATAAATCTCAGTACTTAATTCGTCATCTTCGAGAAAGAAATAAAAAAGGGGTTACACCATCAAGTCTAAAAATTCGACAACCCGGTTATGCGTGGACAATAGGAATAAGTTTATTAGATCTTTTTAAATATTACCCAGATAAAGGATTATATTTGATGAAAGAATCTAGTTATTTTACAACTTCATTGGAGGCACCTGTAAGAATTCTACATACAAATTTAGGAGATCCGTATCAAGTTGAGGAAAGAAGTGTACACGGAGAATTATCAGCGGTTGCACATAAAGCAAAATTACCACGAAGTGTTGAACAAAAAGTGGAACGATATCTAGCGAATTTAATGGAAAAAATTGGTATTCATTTTGGAAGAGAAAAAATGCCGGCAATTCCGAAATATAAAAATTATACAGATTATGCACAGCAACATGATAAAATAATGGATAAATTATCTTGGAAGGAATCATCGGGAGAACGGGAACGAATTCGTAATAAAAGATTAGGTGTAGTCCAAAAAACCCATCCCGCGAAACTTTGTGTTGTTCCATGGCCAGATTTTTGTGTATTTCCTTCTTTCCCCAATGAAAATCGAGGACATTTTTTCAAGTTTTGGGATAATTACATATCTCCTGAAATAAGTCCATTTGCTAATGTCGCTTTGAATGGTTCTTCAGAAATGTTTAGTGAAGTTTCCATGGAAGCAGTAATTAAATTTAAGTGGTAAATATTAAATATTAACAATATTAACAAAAATTAATATATATCATTTAATTTTATTTATTATTAATTTTTATTTAATTTATATATCATAAAATTAATTTAGGGATAAATTTGCAAGAACGCGATATCTTAGTTCATGTGTTATATGGTTCACTTTTGCAATACTCTTTTGTTTTACAATTAGCTTCCTGGATACTTTGGTATCTGACTCAAATCATAATTCGAATAGGATTATATTAATTATTATCGCAGTTGCATCTTTTATATATTTGATAGATGAACTTCGACAGATGAATGGTCGATGGAAGTATTATTTTTACAGTCCATTTAATTGGGTTGATCTGGTAATTATTATTACATATTATCAATTCAAGTAATAATGATTATGATTATTTTTTATTAATAAAAAAATCTCTTTACGTTTAGATATCATATAGGTATAATATATTTGATCAAGACATTAAAAACATTATTATCCTTTAATATAAAATTGGTTTACTTATTTGATTCTTTTCTTCTATGAGTTTGCCTTTGGCAACTGCTATATTAGTGGTATTGGTTAAAAAGGAACCTCCAAGTTGGTTGAAATGTTTTTCTATTTTATGGGTTTGGACTAGATCGGTGAGTTCAAAATTTGTCGGTCTTGCAAAGCCACATTTACAAATGTTACCTGAATACACTATATAATACTATATAATACTATATAGCTCTTACAATTAAGAGCTTTCTCTGGTCCAGGAAAATTTATTGCAATCGTTTTTGAAATTACCTACAAAATCAGAGCTTTATTTTTCGTATTAGCATTCCTTGTAATGGTAAGTTATCATTAATTATATTAATTAGGCTAATAATCATTTTTAAATCATTTTTAAATCGTTTACCTAAGTAAAATTTATTTTTATTATTTTAAATATTATTATTAGGGTTTTGCTAATGCTATGTTTGTACTGCTTCGTGCAACAGATCCTCTCGATTTAGTTTCACAATATAGTGGAAATATTACTAATACCAATGGAGAAGTAATAGGGAGACTTAATTTAACTGAAATTCCACAATCATCAACCAATAATTGGGTTAGGTTTGATTGGTCAATATTAGCAACCTATTCTTTCTTGGGAATTGGTTGGGATGCAATTTCGAATTTTGAACCAAGTTTACCGTTGGCAATTATGATGTTTTCGTTTTCTGCTATAGCAGTAGTTCTTCTTCTTAATGTGCTCATTGGTAAAATATAATATCAATTTCTATCTTCATTTTACTTATACGTTTTATGCGCTTATATATGTGTTTGTGTTAAAAATTTAATCTTTTGTTTTTTTTTTGTTTTCAGGTTTGATATCCGATGTATTTAACGGTTCACTCCAAATTGCAAGACAGAAATATTTAAGGCAAAAAGCCGAAATAATTGCCGAAATAGAATTGTTTAAGTTAACACAATCTCAACGAAATAATATAGAATGGTTTCCACATTTAATATATTATGAAGCACACGTTGATTCCATAAATGAATGGAGACGAAAATTAGATCAAGAGGAACAGGGTCAAGTTGATGTTGATTTTGTGAGAAAGGAATTGAAAGCTGTTAAAGATGAGTTACAAAATGATTTCAAAGTATTAAGAGGGACTTTTAAAAAAGTAATGAGTAAATCAGGATTAGAAAAGGTTTTAGAAGAAGAATTTGAAGAAGAATTTGAAGAAGATGAACCCTTCTGAAGGTAATAATATAATAATATAATAATATAATAACGTAACTATTTAATAATGATATATTATAATTTTGTTGCTCATTACAAACTTCTATTAAGTAATAAAAGAATATTTAATTTTTTGTACAATTATTATCAAAATTATAAAATTATGAAAGAAATTTGTACATTCCCTATGACATGCCACAGCTCAAATGAGGAAAGATTTATGGTAACAGAATGTATAATTTTAGGTATTAGAATAAGTTTGGATTGAATTATTAAATTTTAAGCATAGAGATTAGAATTGATGGAGGGAACAAGGAAAAAACAAACGTAATATTGTGATTATTATAATATTTGTACGATACTTTTTTTGATACGACATTTTCTGTACATTTTGTTATGTAGCGCAAATCCATATTGCCGATAGCTGTTTTTGTAGTAGAGTTGACGCGTAACCATTTAGATATAATGAATTGCTACCGAGTTAAATACCATCTTTGAAGTCCGTTAATCTACATATTAGTTTTAGTTTTCATGCAATTAAAATTTTTTGCATACTTAAAATAATTTTCATTCAATTACAAATTCAGATACAATTTATTTAAAAGAAAAAAAAAATCTATCTTAAACACCATAAGCGAACATAAAAAATGATATGTGATCAAGAAACTACTTGTGCAAACACCTTAAAACATTTCAGAAATGATTTTGGTAGGTAAATGGATTTGCAACTATATATTATGTCAAATGGATTAATTGGATATGTATGAAAATTAGATTCAAACTCAAAAGCAATTAAGAATTTGGGAACAATTAATTTTTACTCAAGATCTGGAAACACGGAAATATATGATGGTTTTAGAATGTGAAAATGATAAAAAAATAATTTTAATAATATTTAGAAATTGAGATTTTTTCCTCAGTATATATATTTCAGATTTGGAGCAAGTAAATTAATTAAGCAAAATACTGAAATACTGAAAAAAGAAATATTGTTGGAATATAGCACCTGAAGTATTATGTAGTGAATAATATATAAAAGCTGCTGATATATATTCATTTGGAATTGTAGCGTATGAAATAATTACTGGTCTTCTACCGTACTCTAATATATGTACCACATTTGACTAGACAAATATGTGACCAAAAATTCCAAAATTAATTACTGAGATTAATTAGAACCACTTTTGAAAAAATTGTGGGTGAGGCTTTTGTGGGTAATGAGTCAAAATAATCAACAAGTTCAACAACTACTACAACTCCACTTAATTATCAAGAGCAATTTATAACTTAATTTTCAAGATCTTTCAAAACCTAAGAATGAAGAGAATTAACAAAATCTACTTCTACTTCAAAGTGCCAGTAAGTATCAGTAATTATCAATTGTATTCTCGTATACTTTATTATTTTTATTTTTTTTTATATTTAAATAATCTTAACACTAGGCTTGGTTTGTAATTAAGATTTTCTTTATATATATGGAAAATGATTTGCGTCTTTTTTATCTGTCCTGAAAAAGATAGATGAATGGGTAAAGCAAACCATTTGAGATTTGTAAATAAATAAATTAAATTAACAAATAATTAGATAACTAGAGTCTTAATCATTCTTTAACTTGGTCTTGAAATCGATATTCGATATTTTTGGATGAAAAAATCGTGAAATGATAATTAATCACGTTATAAATTTATTATTGGCTCCTACTATTTGTGAAAAAAAGATATAAAAGATATTGAAATACAGATTTAGTCGATTAAACCTTTTTCTTTTTTTTTTTTTTTTTTTTAAAAAAAAAAAAAAAAAAAACTAAATAAACCAAAGAATGTCTCATACTTTTGAACCTTTATTTAATAATTCTAATAATTCTTCTATATTATCGAATTCTATACCTTTTATACCACTGTATTTACGAGACACTCCTCTAGACACATATAATAAAACTACTACAAAACCAATACCTTTACCAACCCAATGGAGTGTATATGATTCTTCTAGTTACATTAAAGTCACTAATAATGGATTAGGACTTCGATGTACTGGTAAAAAAAAACAACAATTTTATCATCATTCTTTATATCATTCATTTTTATATATATATTTTTAAAAAGATTTCATTAACGAAATATTCAATTTAAATAAATAAATAAATAAATAAATAAGGTCCTGGTAGAGATAATTCAGATGCAGCATCTATTAGAACAGATCATCCCATTCCTCGTAAAGCTGGATTATTTTATTATGAAATTGATATAATGAATAAAGGTGATAAAGGGTATGTTATGATAATTTATTTAAACATTATTTAACAAGATTTGAATATTTTGGAAAGTTTTTTATTTTAACTTATTTAATTTAATAGAGTAAATAATTCCTAAAAGATAGTTTAATAATTTATAAAGAATTTTAAAGGTTAAATAGATTATAAATAGATTTTATATTTAATTTGCTCATTTGCTCAGATTCATTGGACTTGGATTAGGACTTAAAGATGTTTTATTAGATAAAATGCCAGGTGTGCTCTGCCAATTTGCTCTGTCTATCAATTTTGAAGTATATTAATCTTTATTTTTCCTTTTTTATATTTTGGGATAATATAATTATATAATTTCTTTATTATTTTATTTTTAATTTATATTTTAATTTATAAAGGTTGGGAAAGATGTTCGATAGGATACCATGGAGATAATGGATTGATATATATTCAACATTCTAGAGGAAAACCTTATGGTCCATTATTTAGTGAAGGAGATACAATTGGTTGTGGTGTAAATTTTTATGATAATACTTTATTCTTTACAAAAAATGGAGTTAATTTAGGTATTTATCTTATATTTCCTCTCCTTTCTTTCCTTCTTTCCTTTCCTTCCTTCTTTCTTTCTTTCCTTTCCTTCTTTCCTTTCCTTCCTTCCTTTCTTTCCTTTCTTTATTTCTTATATCTTTCTTCTTCTTAATATATTTCTTTCTTCTTTTATTTAGGTACAGCATATAAAGGCATTGATCATGGAGAATTTTTCCCCATGATTGGATTAATTACTAAGGAAGAATGTATTGAAGCTAATTTCGGGTTAAGACCTTTCAAATATGACATTTCATTACACGCAAAGGTATTTATTTTTATAATATATTGATTTTATTCACGTTCAAAACATTATACATCTCAATATTATATATATATATCTCTCTTTTTTATAGATGATTTTTGATTATGCTGCAGCAAGTAATCTTCACATAGAACAAGAATTACCTGATGATTATAATATTGATGATATAATGCCACCACAATTTTTTTGTAATTACTGTGGAACTTATTATTGAGATATATTATATATTATTGAGTACCGAGGCGAGGGAAACGAGAGGAACTAACAATGAGACAAAATTCTCAATAAGAAATATGAAAACTTTATCGAATCAAATAACATTTTTATTAACAAATTTTGACATTATTTTCATACAACTATACATATCTCATTATTTATCACATGACTATTTCTTTTTTATTGATGTACTTTTAGTTAAGGTTACCAATTTTTTTATCAAAAATAACGTGTATAATTTTAAATATTTGTTTTTTACAGTTAACGATGAATATATATTAAAAATATTTTTTAATATTTCGCTGGAAAATTATGTATTTAATAATAATAGTCAATGTTGCATTGGTTATAAATTTAATTTGTTGATTTGTTGATTTGTTGATTTGTTGATTTATTGATTTGTTGATATAAATCTTTTTAAAACCAATCCATAAAGGATAAAGATAATGCATTTTATACATATGAAAAAAATTGTTATAATTTTTTCAGAATAATCGATTCACACTCTTGAGATTTCTCATCATGTGATTTATCGAATTCTATTATTAATTCTTCTTTTATATCTTCTAATGAAAATGGTCTTTGATTATTTGTTCTATTATTTCTTCTATTGTTTATATTATCACTATTACTTATATTGTCATCTTCGCTATTGCTATCCTCATTGTCATCATCATCATCGTCACATAGTGAAGAGGAAGAAAATTTTAGATTCGACACCCTATTTATTTTATAAAATGAGTTAGATATCGGAAGTGGATTTTCATCTCCAATTGTGAGTCGAGTATCTTTTATTAATGAATTTCGATGAACAAGAGGTGGTAAAGAAATTAAATGATTGGATGAGGTAAAATGATCTGATGATGATCGTGAAATGGTATTAAATGAATTATTAGTATTAAAAGAATTATTAGAATTAAAAGAATTAAGAGAGTTAAAAGACTTAAGAAGTTTAGGATCTAAACTATAAGATTTTTTGTTATCATCAAAAGAATCATTATATGAATTTGATTGAAAGGAATATCTTTGTTTTTTTGTATTACTATTACTAAATTTTCCACTAATCCTATTATTTAATTTTTTTAATTTTTTTATTTTTGATATTTTAAACTCTTTAAATGATGAAGGCGAAGATTGAAGCGTAATCAATTGTTCCGTAGGTTCAGGAATTGAAAATAATTTAATTAATAATTTATAACGTAATTTTTCGTGAAATTTTGGATAATTGGTGAATTTTTGTAATGTATTATTATTATTACTAATTGTATCGTTCGTTTCATTGTTACAAGAAAGTTCTGAAGGTTCACTATAATTTTCACAAGAATTATCATAATCTAAATTTTTTGATTCCCTGAGGCATTCGATTTTTTTGTTTTCTGATAAATGTGGATATTTAACTTCATAAATATTCACATAACGATACCACCAATTAAGTTTATTCACCTGCATGGCACGTCTCACTGCAATATCTTGAAAGAATACCAGAGCATTTAAAAATCCTAAAAAAAAAATTATATATAAATTTCCAATTTATTATAATGTTCAAACAGTCAATATAATATATATCTAAAATTACCTTGACTTGAAACAGTTAAGAGACATGCGAGAAATAATTCATAAGAAACTTTTCGTTTAGTATAAATTTCCGTTTCAACCATAAAATTAGTTGTTTGAGTTATCAATGGTATTACAGGATACCAAATTACTTTTCTAACCACTACAGAAATTAAAGTACTCTTTTTTACAATATCTCTAGAATCACTTTTTGAGATTTGTGTAAGTGTTAAAGAATCAACGGTAGAATCACGTCGTTTGGATGTGTAACGAAGTTTTATAATGATTGCTATTACTACTATAGAACAATAAATTACACAGAGATTTATCCATCCAAAAAATGTTGTCCATTGCCAGATGAAATTATGTTTCTGTCCAGATCCTTTATACCAACACAAACTAGAAGAAGAAGGATATAAATAAGTGGGAAAAAACGAAAATTATACTATCACGTGATTTACTGTACTCACGCTTCGGGTTCATTATATCCATACATATTTTGCGTTAACGGAAGAGATGAAATCAAAAGTGCCAAACCAATTGAACATATAAAATAAAATTTTTCTAAATTATGCCTCCCTTTATATTCATGAATAAATATTGCTTGAAGATTCTAGATATTTATTTATAAATATATTATCTTATCATTAATGATTCTAATAAAAAACCGATAAAAATAAAATTTATGATTTTAATGCTTACGATTGCAATACAAGCTGTAAGAAAAACCGACAATAGAGTAAAGCAAATAACTCCCCATGTCTATATTAATCAATCAAATTATTAAATAATTTATTTTTTATATATTATAAGCTGTAATTTCTTTTTAATCGATGAAGAAAACAGAAAAATTCCGTATAAAATTTATTTACCATGAATCCGCACATAAATCCAGGTTTATTTTCTATAAGGGACGCCATTAATTGAAAAATTGAACAACCAATATCTGAAATCATTGTAGCAAATCCTAATCTAAAAGAAACTCTGTCAGCCAAAGGAGGATAATAAATTCGAATGAGAATAAAGACTATTATTCCCGCTAAAGCTGAGCAGATAGATAAGAAAATGACTGGAAATATGATTTTGATCATTTCTTCAAATTGTTGATTCGTCAAAATGAATAAAATTTCTGTATTATTTCCATTTGCTCCATTTTTATTGGTGGTCATTATTATTTTAAATTTATTTTATTTTTTTTTTTTTTGAAATTATTTTATTAACGTTAGAATAACAATTTCTAACGCCAATGCTAAAGAAAAAAAAAACGAAGTTTATTAGTTATATGACGTTTATTCATTTTATTTATTTTATTTATTTTATTTATCTTATTTATTTTATTAATTTATTTATTTTTATTTACAATTTCCAGTATGCGATAAGAATTCAAGTTCTATTTTCATAACTTTGTTTTTTATTAATCACCACATAAATGAAAAATTTATATGTACAAATCGTTGCAAAAACATTAACGCATAAGATACATTATTTTAAATTACTATTTGCTAAATTAATATGTAAAACGTAATCAGGAGCAGATATGAACCCTGATAAAAAAAAAAGATATCCATCTTTAATTTCTTGTTATCTTACTTTATTTCTTGTAACCATAATATTAAAAAAGAAATTGCTATCAAACCTTGATTACAAATTAAATTCCCAAATTAGGTTATGTTTATTTCGTGAGAATTGTTAGGAAACAAATCTTTTTCTCGTCATTTATCAAGCATGACGTTTTATGATCGACGTTACACCACAGTGAAATCAAATTTATTTTATTTACTGTATAAATTATTTCATTATTATTTATTGGTACTATCCCTTAAACGTGAGTTGCGGACATTATTTAAATGGAAATAGATAAAGGACAAGTGTAAATATATAATCAAAGACCTAAGGAGAGTATCTCAAGAATCTAAAAGAATCTAAAAGATCAAAAAAAAAAAAGAATTCAAATAAAATAAAAATATAATATTTAAAATAAAATCAATTTTGATATTTCAATTTATTATATTTTACCATAAATAACCAAATCAATATTATTATATATTAATTTACAAACTTTAAAATTTATTTTATATCAAATAAGATAACAATTATTTATAATATCCAGTTTGTTAATAATAAAAAAAAAAGAGAAATATAGTAAAAAAATTAAATGTTTCAAATTGTATATTTGTTATAAAAATTATATATATTATATAAACTGAATTCTTTTTAGAAATTTATAATCAATTCAAAAAATTTTTCAAAATTTATATTTAAAATTAGTAATAACAAATAATTTAAGATCTCAAATAACTTGATGACTTTGGTTATTTCATTCAAATTTCAAATAACCAGGTTATTTAAACTAATCAATTATAATTTGTCAATATTCATATTGTAATTTATTTGATTTTTATATTAATAATAAAATTCCAAAATATAATTTACCAATATTCATATTGTAATTAATTTGATATTTATATTTAATAATAAAACTCCAAAATATTTTAATAAATGTTATATAAATCTACAAGATTTTGATCAAAAAAATATATAAATGTTTTTTATATTACTGTAACTCTATACAAAATTTAAATTTTTTTTTTTGTAAACTAATATGATCTGTATAATTATATTTATTTTATTAATTCTAATAAATGATAGAAAAATATTCTAATATTTTTATATTAATTACTATTTATCAACTTTATCAACTACTATTAATAGTAGACATTATAAAAAAAAAATAGAATAATAGATAAAGTTATAGAATCTGATAAATCATAGAAGTAATATATAGAAAGTAAATACAATGTACTTAATGAAACTTTATACAGTTATAAACTATACAAAAAATTTTATTTATTTTATTCAAATTTATTAATTATTTAATTATATACAGGTCAAATATAAAAGAATAGGCATACTGAAAAAGAATTCTGATTTTAGCTGATTTATAATATAGGATATAATAGAACAGTTGATTTTTAGCTGGTTTATGATATAGGAATTCTGATTTTTAATATAGGAATTACTATTTGGTACAGCAATTATTTTGTATTTGACTAGTAACAATTAAACTTCTCTATAATCATACTTTTGAGGTACAAAAATAATGCTTATATAGAAGTGTGACTATTATAGAGGTTTTGTTATATAGTTATTGTTATATTAAAAAAATAAATTGGTGACTTTATAAAGAATTATTTACTATAAAAAGTTTTTAATAAAATTAACTACTGGAATTTTAAAAAATATATAAATAGATATATCTTACTTATATAGTAGCACAGGTCAAAAAAACTAAATTTTGAATCTGAATCAGGTACCTATCGGATACCTGATAACCGTACTGAATATTGGGTACCTTTCGGATACCTGATAGGTAGGTAATATAAAATTTTAATTAACTATTATTGTAGCTATATATAAAACTTTTTAATTTTATAATTAAATTGTCAGTATAATACTAAGTAAACTTATTGACAATAAAACTTTGCATCGACTATAGAAATATTAGCTTTATGTCATTAAAATAAAGAGAATTATAGATGTATAGCCATTCAAAATTTGATTGCTTATAATTCTTTTAATTTTGAATAATTAAATCTAATATTTCTACAGTCAATATTATACTTGCACGCAAAATTATTTTGAAGCCCCGAAATTGTAATTTCAGGAAAAAAAGTTGAAATAGTTTTTCATAGAAGACGAAATTATTTTACTTAAAACCCAAAATTTTTTGACCACCCAGATTTATTCTTTGATTAAAGATACATATAACTAGGTACTTTTTTTACTTCCATATATAGAATAGATTTTGCATAAATCTCAAAAAGTCGAAATATCTCAAAAATTCAAAATCAATTTTGGGAACATGTATAATCAATACATATTTTTATTGTCTATGAGTTTATTTAGTAAAATTTTTACGATTAGATTATATAATTAAAAACTTTTATATGTAAATACAATTGCAAATTATTTCTGATTTTATATTTTGATAAATTATATTGGGATATCTGATAATCTTATATTTTTATAAAATTGAAAATAATTGTAATTGATTGTAATTACATATAAAAGTTATTAATTATATAATCTAATTGTAAAAATACTACTAATTAGACTCATGATAATAAAAATGTAAAAATAATAGATCTAGTTCTTTAAAATTAAGAAAATTATAAGCAATCAAATTTTGAACAGTTGTACGAATTAAAACGTCAATAATTCTTTTAATTTTAATGATATAAGGTTTATATTTCTAAAGTCAATGCAAATTTTTATTGTCTACAAGTTTACTTAGTATTATACTGACAATTTAATTATAAAATTAAAAAGTTTTATATTTAGCTACGATAATAATTAATTTAAAATTTTATATTACCTACCTATCAGACCTGTGAAGCTGGTCCAAATATCTAATTTGTCATGTTAATGACAAATAAAAAAAAAAAATATGAGTTTGTTAAAAAAAACTTCATCTTATGAAAAGAAAAAAACAAAAAACAATCTTACTTTTATCTTTTTTGATTGTGTTTATAATGTTACATTTTAGATATAAAACTTTTTTTATTTTGAATCATAATTTATAATAATTTTAATAATAATTAATATAATAATTAATAATAATTTTAATATAATTTTATTACAATAGTTCATAAGTAAAGTTACATTTTATAAACTTTTTTTAACATAGCATAATAAATAATTGTATAAAATAATTTTATAGAGAATAATTTATATAAAAGTCAAAAAAAGTAATAGTAACTATAATGTAATTTACTTATATAGAGATAGAAATAATATAAAATTGATTAGTAAAAATATAAATGTAGTTATAGTTATTTTGTAACTATATAAATGGTAACTATAGAGAAATTAACTATTATTTAACATTACTATATACAATTTAATTATTCAATTTTTCTTTATAAAATAGTTTGAAATTTTTAATTTTTCTTTTTTTTTTAATACAAATTAATGCTTTTTTAAAGCCATAACTTTTTTATTTTCTTAATCTTAATTGTTTATATTTTAACTATCTTCAATATCAAATTTAATTGTAATAGTTCTTTTATTAAAACTTGTATTTACATTTAAAAAGAGTTATTTTTACTTTTTATCAGTTTATTAGTTAATAATAAATAAATATAGAATTAATAAAAAATTAGTTATTTTATTATAATAATTTTCATATTTATTTATAAAACTTTTCTGACTATAGAATTTTTATCTCTTCCATAAAAAGTATAATATATTATATTTGTTATTAATAATAATAATAATAATCAATCTTTTTTACAAATTGATATGTATTTTATCTTAATAATATTGATATTTATAAAGTTATTCTGTTTTAAAAAAAAATTAGTAAAAAAATCATGTAAAAATTTTGTACAAATTTTTTGTATAATTTTTTACAGATGCCCCTATTTAAACTGGAATAACTCTATAAATATTAATGCTATACATGTTTCCAGAATTGATTTTGAATTTTTGATATATTTCATCCTCTCAAACTTTATGCAAAATTTAATCTATATATGGAAGTAAAAAAAGTATCTAGTAAGTGTATTTTTAATTAAAGAATAGAAATCAAGTTTTGAAAAATTTAATCTTCTATATAAAATAATTTTGTCTTCTATAAAAAACTATTTTGATTTTTGGGTTCCAAAATATTTCAACTTACTATGATAGCTTATTTTGCATACAAGTATAATCAATACTACTGAAACAAAACATATTTTATTTTGTATTCAAAAACAAGATCTTTTTTTTTTATCTTAAAAATATTTTAATAGAAAATACTTCTGAGCTTTTATTAGTAATAAAAATATTCTGAATAAAAATATTCTGGAGACTAGAGATATCTGTTATAGTTCAAAAAAAAGTGATATAATCAATTATAACATATAATATAATTGATTAAGACATTGATATAATTAGTTATAACTAGTTTATATATGTCATCAAAAATAGTACTCCTAATGGATCAAATTAATTCAAGTTAATAATTTTTAAACTTGAAAGTTGATTAAAATTTATAAATGTTACTTGATCTTGAAAATTATAATTTTAAGAATTTGGTGTATTAGTAAAA